CGCTGCCTTTGCTGCTGCTGCTGTTGCTGTTGCTGCTCCCGAGCAAATGTCATTGACCACAAGGCGAACAACAAAGGGGCGTTGCAGTAGGGGGGCGTGGCAGAAGAGAACGAACGGAGAAGGGTACAGAGGTACGGTGTACGTAGTGGCCACTCGCCACAGTCAACAACCACCAAAAGTAATCATCGCAAACGTTGCTTTGGGGGCGGAGGAATGGAAATGACGAGGAGTTAGGGGTAAGCAAGGATGGGTAAAATGAGGAGTAGCTAGGGGGTGGGGGAGGTAGCGACTGCCTGCAAGGACATCCAGCTGTGTGAGCTGCGAGCGTCAAGGAAAACTAAATATGACGGCCTTTGCTCCATCCAATCCTACCTCCTTCTCCCATTATCCAACTCCCCCTGTGCCATTATCCCTGCGTCCGATGACCAACAGTCCGAGTTGGAGTTGTTTCCCTGCCGGGAAAACTGCAAGGAGCAATGCGATTAACGTTTCAATATGCGACAGTTGCAGCGCGACTTTCAAGCTGATACACTGCCAGAAAAGTCTTTCGATAGCCAGGCGGCACACAGCCTATGGTTAAAACTTTGGGAATTTTTCTTGTAGCTTCTCTGGAAAATACAAGAAATTTGTAAGTTTAATTTGATTTTTATGTTAATCTGCATTTAAGTTTTACCTTTTGAGCTTTCTTACTTTCTTTTTTTCCCTGCAGTGGATAGCCTGGGTGGGTAGTCAAAGGGGAGGGTGTTAATTTACCATACATGTGGCACGTCTCGTCTCCTTACCTCCCAGTCCGATCCTTTTGGCTTCGTCTCCTGTCGCTTTGCGTCGGACCTCCTGCGGTCCAGAGTCATGGATGCATTCATAGAAAATTACGCGCTAAGCTGCAGTCGCAGTCGGATTCTGATTCTGATTCTGATTCGGATTGGGATTGGGATTCGGATTGGACTTTGGACTTTTCGACTTCTGGTCTTGTGCACTTCTGGACTAGACTCCCGACTTGGGTTCGGTGAACGGAATTGGGCGCGTGATTGGCCGCTCAGATTGGTTTGGAAATGGAATTGGTCTGGGGACTTCTGATTTCCGACTTCAACCGCACCGAAAAAGGTCATTATAACTTTGCTGTGTGCAGGATCGCTGGCCAAGTAGTAGTAGAAGTTTTCTCTTTATATATTTCCGTTTGGCTATGGGGCAATGAGCTGGAGTATTTGCACTTCGCAAAACAAAAGCTCCGCTGGCAAATTGCTAACCGCAAATGGCTTTACATAACCTAAGCAGCTCAAGAGTAGGGGATAAAGCCTGGCATGGACTTGGCGCGTTGCACAATCGTCGTTGTTCCTTAGGAAGATGATCCTTTTCCAAGCTTACGTCGATGATTAGGGTCGCCAGATTACGTTGTTACGTAGGTGAAGATGTGCTGTGGATTTAGATTTGGATAATTAATGAGTTTATGGAATAGTTTTTTTTTCAGAAATAACTTATAAATGTGCTCAAAAAGTATGAATTCAAGTAAAGTTCGCAATGAATCCTTCGAACTTCCTTAGTGAGCACTTATTGTTGCATACTTTTAGACACCTTAATAAGGAATTTCAAAGTTAAAATGATATTTTTCGATATTATGCAAGGTAACTTACCAATGTTAATCCTCCAGTTTAAGATATATGAAAACCCTTCTAATACTTTTCTTTTTAAATTTTTAGAATAGGGGTCACACCCTTCTAAGCTACTCCCCTTGACTATTGATTATACCAGAGCATATCCGATCTCCCCTTCGACTGAGCTAATTAGCCCCTTCAAATCGATTGTCCCAGGATTTCCAGTTCGCAGCTCTTCATTGGCTTTCCAATCTCTAGATTTCCGCATCTGGCGGCGTTGAGCTTGTTAGCTGTCAATTTACATCTCACGTTACGTGATGAATTACGCCATTACGTGGGCAAGAGTGTGTGGGTGTGTGTGTACGAGTGTGTTTAGCTATGTGTTCTATGCGTTTGTTAGAGGGCGCACTGAGTTTTTCAATTAGCTCATTTCTAATAATTCAGGATGTTGAGGCAGCAGCCAAAAAACACCGCCGGCCATTGTAGTCAAACACGTAAAACTATAGCTCTACCAGCAGCTATATAGAGTTCAATGCGGTTGGGAGATTACAACAAAAGCCTACACGCCACCCACCCCCCAACCCCACCCTTTAGGTGGATTGTGTATGAAAGTGTGTGTTCGTCTGTGTGTGGGTGGCAAGGCCTCGTGGGCAATTCACCTGACTAATTAATAACTAATAATGTGCAGTGCGCTTATTAGAGAAGCTTGCATACATTAGTCCGGGACTAATATCATTATACGCTAGCTTACGCCGCCGCCGACGCTGCTGCTCTGGCTCTATATAGGAAAACCCCCTTCGCTTGCCTCACTCTCCTCACCCACTGGGTTGACCTGCTGCATTTTGTGACCCCCACCAACCCGCTGGTTTGTCCACTGTGTGTGTGTGTGCTGACGGCTCTGACAGAAAATCCTTCGTCCTAGCGCCTACGCATTGCACTGAGAGATATTCTGGGCTAAAAAGGAAATAAAAACTTTAATTTTTTATTAAAGAAATCAAATATTTTTATTTTATACAAGAATTTCTTAATACATATACTAAGAATCTTGTATCATCTTACCTTAAAAACCTCAAACTAAGAGCTTCTTCAGAACAGAAAACGAGGTAAACTTTCTAGTCAGTTGGAAGAGATAAAAAGAGTCTTGTTAGTGGAAGTTGTACTGTAAATTGAACAAAAAACTCACCATTTTAAAGTGTCTTTCGTCTCCATTCACCTTTCTTAAGTTACACTCACCTAACGTTATAAAAATGTCTTCCAAATCTTAAAATAGAAAAGCCAACCATAATCAAAATCTTCGAAAAATGACACAAACTGTGAATGGAGTTTTGATAAGCATAGGAAAACACGCTTAACGAGGTATTACATTCCTTATTTGAGCCATTATTGGCCAAGTTATGAGCATTAAAATTTCATCCAAAATGCAATTTTTAGGTAATTTCTTTCACTGCTTGGATATCTCCGGCCTGACTTCCTGTCACGTACACACAATGCAAGCTGGACACCAACACTAGCACACACACACACCTACACACACCAAAACAGGCACGCACACAAAGAAATGCAATTATGACAATCAAAGTGGACAAATGCAGTTTGCTGCCGAATGGCGAGTGGCGAATGCCGAATGCATTCGTGCCCCAATCGCAGGCCCATCAAAGGTGCGACTCGACTCCGGCTGACAAATGACAGGTGCACGGCCACTCAAAGTCACCTGGCCAACAGCCTAACAGCCCAACAGGCCCAACAACTGCCACCCACTCAACTGTCCTGTGGGCAAACTTCAACCACCTGGAAATGCTCCAGGGAAATTCTTTGTTCTTTGTTAAAGTGGTAAGTCCACTAGGAAAATGATTTTGGCATCGATTTTCTTTATTTACTTTTAAATAATTGAAAAATAAGAAAGAAGTAGTGTAAAAGTTCCCTTTTTGGCTTTTTAAACATCAATATTAACCCATAACATTAACTAAAACTTTGTAATAGATCCTTCTTAAAGGAAAGAAAAACCATCAATGATAGGTTTTATCAAAAACAAGATATTTAAAGAAGTCAGGACAAACACAAAGCATTAACTTTAAGGGAGTTATGTGGGCTGGCTACAGGCCTTGTGCTGGGCAGGCATCTCTAGAAACTGCAGGCTTAGTCTCAACTTTCTAGCTCTAGCTAGCTTTTCAGCTAGTTACCTTTTTCATACGGACAGACTTACGGACAAACGGACCTGGCTAAAACCCATTGGGTTTGATCAAGAATATATATATAGAAATATACTCTACATGGAATGCAAAATATAATGCTTAGCCTCAACCAAGTTTTCTAGCTAGTCATCGAGTTCATACGGACAGCCTTACGGACAAACGGACATGGGTAAATCCCATTGATTTTGATCAGAATATATATTTTGTTACCTAGTTCACATGGAATAGAAAAATATAATGATTAGTCCCAACTTTCAAGCTCTAGCTAGCTTTCTAGCTAATCATCGAGTTCATACGGACTGACTTACGGACATGGCTAAATCCCATTAAATCCGATCAAGAATATATATATTGTTACATTCTTTACATGGAATAGGAAAATATAATGATTAGTCCCAACTTTCTAGCTCTAGCTAGCTTTCTAACTATCGAGTTTATACGGACAGACTTAAGGACAAACGGACACAGATTCCCATTGATTCTGATAAAGAATATATATATATAGATACATACTTTACATGGAATGCAAAATATAATGCTTAATCTCAACTTTCTAGCTCTAGCTAGCATTCAAGCTATTCACGGAAATCATACGGACAGACTTACGGACACACGTACATAGCTAAATTTCATTCATACTGATCGAGAAGATATACAGAAAATACTTAATCCCAACCTTCTAGCTCTAGCTAGTATTCAAGCTAGTCACGGAAATCATACGGACAGACTTACGGACACACGGACATGGCTAAATCCCATTCATTCTGATCGAGAAGATATACAGAAAATGCTTAATCCCAAACTTCTAGCTCTAGCTAGCATTCAAGCTAGTCACAGAAATCATACGGACAGACTTACGGACACACGGACATGGCTAAACCGCATTGCTATCAAAAAATATAAATATCTTGTTACATACTTTACATGGAATACAATATACCCTATCCTTCTACTACCGAAGAGTATAAAATACCCAAAAATTCCATAAAATGTTCCACTCCTTACATCCCTTGATTGAACTTCAAACTCTGGAGTCCTAAGCTGGCCAGAAGAACTTTTCTTTTCGGCACTCATTTTAATTTGCAACTAATTGCGAGTCATTAAAAGGCACCTAAAAAAAAGCTGCGGGAAAAGGTCAGCACTGCTCATTTCATTCCTTGACCCCCCCAAAAAAAAAGGAAAAACCTTTGAACCAAAAAACAAAAAAGGAAGCTGCTGAAGAGAAGGCAAAAAAGAGCATTTTAATCTAGCAATTAAGGCATAATGTGCTTTAATTAACCGCTAAAATCTAAAAAGCGCGCATAAATAACCAATTGACAGCGGCAGCCTTGGTGGCGAAAGAGAGGGACGTTCGGCTTTGCTAGTGGAGGGGTTTGGGTAAGAGCCAGGGACTTACCAAGGCCATAAATTGAATTACGTTAAGCCCCCCAAGCATAATGGTCAAAATAACACGCAATTTGCCGGCTGGCCGCAAAACGCCCGAGAAACAGCACCCACCGACCACCCACAAGAAACAGCTATTTGAACACCCAAACCCAAACCCAACAATCCACCCATCTAACAGCAAGGCCAAATCGATGGGAGACACCACCCACGCCCACTCTACTCCATCACTTGTGTTAATTTCTGGGAAATCACTTAATCCTTTAAATATCGCCCGTTCGTTGCTCTGTGACACCTTAACCCACATTTGCCCCACGAACCGAAATGACGCGCAAATTTACATTGCCAACCCGTCTGCCTCCTCTTTTATAACCCCCTTTTTCTGTACGCCCCCTTTTGGTCGTAAGAGAAAACGCCACAAAGTCATCGCATTAGTGACGCTCTGAAGATTATTTACCTAGGAATGCGTGTAAAATGACACCAATGTATTGCGACACCCCCTTGTGCAGACCCCGCCCTTGTGCAGACCCCCCTCGCGGAACCGAACGCCCCTGCCTTGCCATCGTGTCTCTTGCCATTTCACCAGGCCACCAAGCGTGTTACTCTATTAAATTTAAATTAAAAATTGATTAAAATGAGCCCGGCTCCTGGGCCTTTCGACAGCATCTCCCCGTTTGGGGTCACCATCTGAGGCAGAACCCCACCTCAACCACCACCCCTCCCCTCTTCTGAGTTAAGGAAAGGAGGTGCCAAGCACTTGCAACTCACGGCTCGCAGCTGGAGGATACACACAATTAACGTAAGCTTTTTCCTACGAATATTCAAGGAGGGGAAGGAGGAGTTGGGTTACATTTTCTTGGTGGGTTCGTGGGAGAGGCGGGAAAAGCGGACAACGGACGATGGACTACGGACGACGGACCACACAGAATGCGTTGCGGATAAGCAAGTTTCGCCGGTTGATGTTCCGTGGCGAAAGTTCACCAAGCCGGGCAGCATCTTTTTACTTGGGCTGCGTTTTGGTAAATTAAATTTGTGCATTACGCAAATGAGCAGCCGCAACAGCGAAGGTGATGGCTTCCTTACGCTGATCTACACTGGAAACAGCCGACGTGTAAGAACTGTAAAGAAATCAATCAAAATATTAATAACAGAAAATATAATTAAGAAGTTAAAAAGGTAAGAAAACATACCTTAATGCTACATTTTATGATATTTTCATTAATATATTACTTCGGACACTAAGAACTATAAAATTTTCCCAGTGCAACCAAGCTGCAGTGCAAATGAACCCTTGCCTTAGTATCTTAGTATCTCAATGTCCCAGTATCACATCCACCCGCTCCACAATTCAGCGCCTAATGATCCCTGGCCAAGAGATTGGATGGCAAGTTGGGTGAAATCAGGAAAGGGGTTTCCCTCCCGAAAAAAACGGCAACTGCTAGCTGGATGGATAATGGTAACCGCCCTGCCTGATGCCTGCCATTTGATTAGATTGTGTTGCGGTCCAAGGAAGCTAAAAGAAAAGCATAGAGTGCAAGGTTAATGGTCATCAAGGAACGTATGCTATTTCTCGGTGATTAACAAACGAGATTTTAAATTGATTTTAAGCAACAGAAATTTTCATTTTACAGTAAATACTAATTGATTACCTGTTCTATTTAGATTCAAATCTAGGAAGTGGCGACCAAAAGAGAAACCGCCTTTCCATCGACGCAAAGTTCAAAGGCTGAAAAGAAGATGAGGGATTGGTTTAGTGAGTGATTCCGCGAAAATGCCCTGTAAAATGCGCTGTGATTTGATTGAATTTTTGTGGCCTCAAGTCCTGCCGCTGACTTCGAGATAGGTTTGATTCTCCTTTTCTCAAGCAGCTAGCAGCTAGAGATTTTTCCTGCCACCCATTTCAGCAATTTTCCACCCCCCTTCTGGCTTTTTCCACCGCCAGTTCCTCAAGTTCCATTCCCTCCTTTGTTCTTACGTTTTAATTAAAAAGTGTCGCTTAGTGCGACTGTCCATTTGACTGATGGGTGGGGATATATATATATATATATATCTGGGATCTAGGTGGGTGGTTGGTTGGTGGGGCGTTTTTAGCAATTAAGCCGCCGTGTTGCACGCTGGCGCCCCCTGTCGTTCGGCTTAATGAAAACGATTATCGACGAAGACGAAGACGGCGGGGACGAAGGGGATCGGCAATTGGTTAGATGGAAATAGGAGTGGACTTGGGAACTGGAAACTGAAAACTGGGATCCCTGACTGACTGACTGACTGACTGGCTACAAACTTATTGCTTTACAAATTCTTTAATAAATTAAATGTCCTGCCTGTTCGGGATTACCCAGGGATGAGGAATGGATAACAGTGAACGATGAACGGTGAACGGTGAATGTGGAATAAAGAATAGATGGACTGGACAGGACCAGGACCGATTCCAGAAATCTGGCTAGGCATCATCAATGCCATCGACTGCCCAACTGAATTTCCATCGCCTGACTGAGCAACTTCATCATCAGCTATAGTCGAGTATATATGTATATATAGTACCTGAGCAATCGGAGTGCTTTGGATGGATCCAACTGATGGATGGCTAAATGCTTGACTGCTTCGCTTGGGCATTGAGTGATAGGTATAGGATATATATATATATAGATAGAGAGAGAGAGGGAGAGCTGGGCTATCAGGTAGGAAACTTGGAATGAAATTAAATCTAATTTGTCCTTAACTGTTTGTGGGCAAGTCTTGTCAAATGTTTCAAGGGAAATCTTTAAGGGATCTTGCTGTGTTATGGTTAAGGAGGTTATGGAGTTTGGAGAAGGTTTGGTGAGTTAAAATGTATCTAACAGATACAAATCTAAATAGATAGTTCTGGCATATATGGTTTATATATCTTTATACTTGATTTTCCCTTCTTAACAGGAATTCTTTCTGGATTTCTTGGTAAGGAAACTTCCACTAACTTGGCTCTGCCCAAGAACATTTACTCATTTGACAGTTTTTCATTTTCATTGAGGAAAAAGGCAACAACTTAATAAGCCGCCTTTTGTGCTTCCAATCCTAAACAGTTTTTTTCTTGGCCCCTTGCCTTTCCCTTCATTAGCTGCTTTGGAATTCCATAACAAAAAAAAACCTACAAAAGCCTTTCAGCACCAGAAATACCCCTTAAAATAATCTAAAATGTTAAAAAGTATATATTAATATGAAAAATTTACAAATAAAAATATTTTCCTGACTTTTTTTGAGGTTTTCAAGAGTAAAATCCATAAATTAAGCCTTTAAATGATAAAAATTTAATATTTTAAATATTTAAAATATATAAAAAAGCCAAAAAATGAGCTTGAAAATATAAACTAACAACTTTTAACAACTTTTCAGATTATAAAAACTGCAATTCCCTTGCTTATTCGAACAGAAATACCAAATTTTTGCAAGAAAACGAATCAAATTTGCCCGGAAACCCCCTTTGATACCCAGCATGGAGTACCAGGAAAAAGCATAAAGTAACGGGGAAGGGAAAAGAGAGAGGGGGAAAAGGAAATGGAAATTAAAACGAGCCACTCAATTACGCAAATTAAAACGAGAATGTAGGCGGCGCTAAGGCAAACAAAACCAAACCGAACAACACGAAACAAAAACAGAACGTAAAAAGGCATAAAATATCTTAAAAGGAGGAATGCGAACAGCGTCCTTTTCTCTTATTTTCTTTTATTTTTCATCACCAACACAAGCTCTCCATTTCACCCTTCCCCTGCATTTTCCATGTCAACGTTTTCAGCTTTTTTTGTTGTCTTGTTTTTATTTTTTTTACAAAATAATAAAGTTCGCCGAGGTCGCCGTCATAAAATGCGCCAATTGACGCGGGTCAACTCCTCGAGAACCCTTTTCCCCCCACCCCTACCACCACACAACCACCCCCTGACACATCCTGAGAAGGTCCTGCTGCGGCCCCGTGGCATGCTGAGGGCCAATAAAATCAAATTAAAAGGCGCCAAAGTGTCACGATTATGAGACTTAAGCGAAATCAATTAAAAACAAAAAAAACAAGGTGGGGGGGTGGAAAATAAAATGAAATGAGAAGAAAAAAACCCGAGAAAGTTGAGGGCAAACGTGAAGAAGGAAAAGTGGCACAAGTGGGTGGTGTTTCTGCGAGTCAGGGGGCCAAGGGGGTGCATGGAGCTTACTACGATGGAGACGTTGTCCATGTGTCAAAGCTGCCACCCCCCACCTCCTCCGCACTTCTGACTGACGTTTTTTGGGTGCGTCCATGCAAATTACAAGGGATAACAAATAGTTGTTTTTTCCTTCATTTCCACAAAAAAAAAAAAGAGAGAGAGAAGAAGAAGAAGAAGGACAATATTCAGGACAAAACTGGACAGGGAATGGGTGGACAAGCCACGAACTGGGCTGGGCATCAAAAGTCAAGGAAATTGGGGCGAGTCCGTTTCAGAAGGAGGGGCGGCGGCGGCTGTAGTACTATTTGGTATAGGATATAGAAACCATAGGAAAACCCCTCAAGTTGAACGTGCGGAAAGCGAAACCGAGCTGGGATTGTCTGTTAACCAAAAAGTAAAAAAGAAAAAAAAACCATTCAATAGTTTGTGGTTTGAAAAATTGTTAGACAATATTAGAAGCGTTTTAAAAAGGTCATAAGAAGTTTGTCCTTAAATAATATAAAAACTTACTCTAGTTGGTTAGTTTTATAAATGAGAGTTTATTTGTGATTAAAATGTTTAACTTTATCCTTTTATTTTTTATTTATAAACTCAAAACTAATCAGTTTTCTTTTAGCAAATAAGATCTTAACTTTCATACGGACAGATGGACATCTCTCTCTAAAAACCTCATTAAAATCCCCTAAAACTTAATACCATCCAATCCAAACCCAAATCGAACAAAGCTAATGCCCTTCTCAGCAGTTTTCCTTCCAACCAAATCAAAAGACTAACTTCTTTTGCATTTTTTCCAACTTCAAACGAAACGCTGGAAAATGTTAAGCTGCGCTTATATAGAAAAGAATTACCCGTAGTCTTGCAATTACAGATGTATACCCTCCATCCTTCGAAACCCCCCCTTTGCCATCGAAGGTCGCCCCAATGGAGTTGACTTAACATTAAGTATACGCCGCCATGTTACCCCACGATTAAGATGGGGGCGGGGGCACAAAAATATAAATGGAGAGCCGCTTCAAAGGCGACGGAAGCGGGAAGTCGTCGTCGGCCAACTTCCTTTCTTGCCTTCATTTTTCAGTTTCAGTTTCGATTTACCACCACACCTCCCTCCCCTCCCTCACAGTGCTTGTATTTCCCTCAACAGGCAGGCCGGGAAGGCAGCTTTCACTCGTACAAAGAAATATTAATTTAAGAAAAGACTTTCAGGCAGCTTGTTTTTTAATAACCCGCCACAACAATGGTGGCAGGATGGTAAGGGGGCTGCAGTATGGGTGCCTCCTCACCTCAACTCCCCTCCCCATCCTCCTCCTCTTCTTGTTGTTGCTGTTTTTGTATGTAAAATTAATAAAAGTTTAAATTGTTGCTAAAGGCAATGGATGGGAAAGGGGGGGACGTGGCCAAATGGTGAGGGTAGGAGGTGAGGACATTGGCCAACAGGAAGAACAGGAAAAGGAAGTCCGGGGATGCAGGATGCCTTGACAGCAGCGTCTCCGAAGTCAGTCTCTGGAATGTTTAATGGCCGCATTTCGTTTCATTAAAAATGTATGCGGCCTTAAAAGCTTTCGTTGTTGTTCGTCTTCCTGTTGTTATTGTTATATATATATATATATATCTGATATATATATAATATATATTGTTAACATTGCTTTGTTGTCAGTTTGGAGTTCGGAGTTTGAAAAGGGCTGTGGGGGGAGGCGTAACAACGTAGGAAGTTGCAATAAGCGAGTTGGTAAAAGAACAAAAAATTGTGTCATAGCTCTCGCAAACTGACTAGGCTAAATGAACCATAACTGTTGGCTGTCTAAAGGATAATACCATTACTAACTAAATCAAGGGGATAGTTTTTATAGAATTTTCCTTTCCTTTTCTCTCTCTCTCTCTGCATTAGATCTACAAACCTATAGTTTTAGCCTTTAGCTTCCATCACCATTGGAATTTATGGTTTGGGATACTCCAGGCTGGGCCATTAATCTATTTTTATTTATTTCTACTTATGCGAGGACCCACCCAGAAATATATATACTACTATATATATTATATAACCTATATAAAGACACACTCGTGCTGGAAATTATAAGCGATTGAAATAAATCAAAGTCCAAATGGCAAATAAAAAAAGCTTTATATAGAAATTTCCTACACAAAAATTGCCCTGGAAAATGTTCTTTCTTTTTTAAGGGCAGTCACAGAAAGGGGGGAAAAATCTCCCAAGAACAAGGTCAAATTGTTTTAGCTTAAGGGCTAAATCCTGCTTATCACACTCGTCGTCTACTATGATTGCATAACAATAAAAAGCTATCAAAAGGTTGCCAATTAAATTGACTAAAACTTTGACACGACATTTGTTATGCAAAACGGAAAACAAAAACTATAAAAATAATTTAACTAAAATTACATATTTACTATTCATAAACCGATTTAATGATTAGTAATCCTATTAACTAACGGACTTGTTTTAATTTATGCCAAATAATAGGTTTACTGACAGCTTTTAACTAACAAACTTTTTAGTTAAGTAACTATTAAAGTTAATGCTGCTACTTTAGACTCTTGTTAAGGGTTTTTTGTTCATTCAGATATCTGAAATATATATATATATAGATATCTTAAATGTCTACAATGTCTTCTTGTATCTTTATCTACTGTACCCGCACACATTTTCACATACCATCTGTATCTTCTTTTTCGTGCTTTTCAAGTGGCGACATCCACAATTTATATTGTCATTCGCCCACATTTATTGCGGCAATAATTCATTTAATTTTCCTTGATTTACTTTGTCAAATGTGGCCGGGGAGAGGAGGGGGGAGTGATGTCCCTTTTTTCTTTTTCCTCTCCTCTTGTTTCTATTTCAGTCTCTATTGCTATTCCGATTCCTATTCCTATTGCGATTCCGATTCCGATTCCGATTCCTATTCCCATAGTATTCCCGTTGGCCATGTGAACTTCCATCGCGCATCATTGGAGACCACTTGTTAAGCGGGGTTTTCGCTGCTCTCCGGATGTCCTGCGTTCCGATACCCTTTAAAGACACGAAAGGTATATAGATTATTCTATATTTAGATAAATATTTAATAAATTATATTTTTAATTTAATAATAGTAAATCTATCTACTTTACACTTAGACTATCGTCACACCATAACTTTCACCTTAAAGGGTATTCCCAGCTTCGCTTGGCCAATGCAGTTCTTGTTTTTCCTGCGCTTTCTTTTTTTCTTTGCCTGTTTTGCCCTAACTAGCCAACCCAGAATGGGTGGTGGTTGTGTAATTTATGCCACGTTTGCCACTTTTGTCATTTGGCTCCACTCTACCCCCTCTCTTTCTCTCTCTCTCTCTACTCACCCCTCCAATGTTTGCTTTCCCCTTTGGGGTTCGTTTCAGTTCGCTTTGGGTTTTGTTTGCCTGCCTTTGTTTTATTGACACTTTTGATCTTTTCCAATGCATGCACGATTCATTTATTATGTATGTGAGTGTGTGTGAGGGTAGAATATATATATATTATATATATACACTGATTGATACATAGGCTGACTGGGGACAGGACCACGCCCACCTCAAGCGCCCGTAATTTGTTGACAAATGAGTTACAATAATGTCACATTATCAGTTCATCACAATAAAATTATACGCCCAAGGACATTGCCGAGGACCACCTCCAAGGAGACCAGAGATCCTGTTGGGCATCCTTTGGTCACTCGGCAAATAACAATTGACCAGCAGTGAGAGAAAATTTGGGGAAATTTTTAGATAATTTACTCAATTTTCTACTTGCAAATGGTTTTGAAAAATTTTGAAATATTTTATTAATATTTGAAAAACTTTCAGTAGACATTTTTTGACTTGAAAATTAACATTTATTATTGTTAAAAATTTTAAATAAATATTATAATGGTTTCTTTTTTGATATTTTAGAAGCTAAGCAAGGCTTAATGGTTTTAAATTATTTTTAAAATATTTTTAAGGCTATTTTTAAGGCACTTTTTCTCAATTTTGTGAAGATTTCTCTACACTTTGTAAAGTTACCTTTAAAAAAAACTTAAATTTTCTTTTTTATTTAACATAATTTGATATAATTTTATTAAGTTCTGATGATTAAATATTTTTATTTACTAAGAAATATTCTAAAAGCCTTTTTTTTAGTGCTTAAAAAAATGATTTTTGTCATTTAATAAATATAAAAATTAAAATAAATATTTTTAAAACCAAACAAAGCTAAATTTTGATAAATTTTTGATACATTTTTGATAAATTTTGATAAAATTTTTATAAATTTCTAAAGAAAATTTCTTCCCAGTGCTGCTTAATTGGCTCTGGCCGAGTTTATGGCATTGGCCTGCCCTGCGGACGAGGCAACTTAAGTGCCTCAACATCGGCCTCAGCATCGGGGCAACGGTGGCATCCACAACAATCAGTCCGGCCGGAGGAGTTTCACAAGGAAACCTGTTAATCATCGGGGGGCAGGAGGGATATCCTCAACTAAACTGAGATGGAGAAGAAGGAGGAGAGATGGGAAAGCAATGCTTTCGCTTGTCATGGAGCGCATTAGGCCCAGATAAATGACCAGCAGGAAATGGCAATTCCAAATTCGCACAAATTCAAATGATATGCCAAAAGATTTGGCAGCTTGTCAGGCTCGATTCTCCCTGCCTGTATACACTATATAATATATATACATAGAAAGAGAGAGAGAGAGGGAGAGGGAAACCTTATCGTGACGTAGAAGAAGAAAGGCCCAACAAGGAAGAGCTGAGCTTGGAGGCAACTGTACTCCTCGTTGGCCAAAGTCATTTGACAAATGCCAATTGACAGGCATCGAAGACGAAGAAGACTGTAGAACAACAAACGAAAGCACAACCAAAACGAAAAAATTCATTTCTGATTGCCAAATGAACGAATGACGAATGACTGATACCGATTCAGAGTCGCAGGAGGAGGGTCCTTGGATAAGTAATGGGACCGCCAGTCGAGCAGGAGTTTGTCAATGTGATAAATGCCATTTTAAGTCCCGAATAATGATTCGTATTTGGGTTCCCGCAGATTCCATTGCGATTTTTCGAAAGACAAGAAAATTCATTTTTTTTTTCAACAAACTTTTTAGTATGTAACACGTGCGCCATCTGTTGGCACTGTTAAGCAATATAAAAGAAACATATGCTTTTGAGGTTGCCACTTCTTTGATTTGGTTTTAAATCAAGTTGGCATTGTCTTTTTCTGACAAATGAGGTTAGGTTTGTCATAGTGAAAAATTATTTCACTACCAAATTATTTCACTTCCAAAGTCCGAACAGCAAAGACGTCTTTCGTTCCTAAAAAATCAGTAAGCTTGTGAAAAATGTTGGAAATCAGAAGAAAAAAACTCCAAAGAAAAAGGTAAAGAAATTAGAAATGTCCTCGAACGACCAATAACAATATTTAAGTTTACAGAAGTAGGAATATCAAACCACATGGCTTTTGCCTTTCTGGAAACTTCAACCTTGCATATATGTGAACGCTTAATGACTCATTAAATCCTGACCATGGGTTCGGACAACATTCCTAAGGCCAAGAAGACGACATATTTCGAAGAAAACTCCAGTTTACAAATTTTTCACTATTTTTTAATTTTGATAGCGGCCACGTTCTGCAGAATATCTGCAGATCGTCACAGCTAAGACGTTTCTCGTCATGGCAGAGCACTTCCTTCCAGAAGAACAATACACTTTGGTTGTTCAGATTTAGGTTAAGCTTATCTCCCGGATGCAATATTTCTTTTTGTACTGCGAACTCGCTATTACCCAATAAGGTATAGAGGGTCTACATCTTTCTGGCTAATTGCGAGTTCATGGTACAAGAAACTTAAGAAATATTGTATTCAGGGATGAGCGGAACCAGAAACTGATCATCCAAAGTACATATATTACCCTATATAAGGAACATTCTCTTCCGAGGCGAGGCATTTCTTCGCTGAGTCGGTCTAGATCTTCTGGGGAACGTAGCCCCTGAAAATATATTTCAATAGAGGACCTCCAATCAAGTACTTCTAAAAAATCTGCGAAATGACATTTTAATTTGGGGGAAAAGGGGTTCAAATTTGGCAGATGAGAAATTGGGGCTATAAGAACGAATTACTATAAGGAGCACTCCCAGGGAACCCATCCCTATTTCAGTAGGTATATGACCAATCTCGCTAAAATCATAGGCGGTGCTGGAGGAGCGCAGGATGTGGCTGTGCTATGGACTAGCTGTGGCTCGGATAATGCCTTAAATACTCCCTTTGCCTCTGCTGTCTGAATACAACCAGATCTTCTGCCGGCAGGACTACTAGAGATTTCATGGCTCTAAAAGTTATTGCTCTGCCTGGACCCAGAACATCCTATCTTCTAATATGGCAGACCGGTCGGCAACAATATCTATCGCCTGGAAAGCTTTGCCTGTCAGCTATGCAAATGCTTGCTTCTGCTTGGGCGTACGATTTTTTCTGTATAAAAATAAGCTACTCTAAGAATGAAAAGAGTCGGGAAATTGCTTCGAAGAAAATTAGCCAGCATGATCAGCTAAGCAGCGGCGGACTAGAGCTGGCAGCAGAGCTGTGAATGCTGTGGGCATGGTCAACGATCCGCGCCTTCTCCGCGATAACAATAACAACAAGAACAACAATGTCCCTAAGCTATCAACTGCTGGTGGTCCAGCACTTTCCGCCGGCGCCGCTGCCTATGCGAAGAAAAAGTAGGAGCCGTTCAGCTTAACTAAAATCCAAGGCTTGGTCGTGATTGGAGTTGAAACGGCGAGTCAGCAGGGCTGTGGACTACAGCCCAAGAAACAGCAACAAAAACAACAATAACAGAAGGAAGACTAGCCAAGAGCAGCAGCATCTCCCGACCAACGAGTGGTGAGGTATGGGTGGAGTTCTTAGATCAGGCAGTGGCGCAGAAGAAACACTAACAAAGCTTTTCCAAAGAAAGTTTTCAGCCAGCAACTGAAAAAATGAAGGGGAAACTATACAGGAATACAGAAACAAAGTTTACGTTTTCTTACTTTCCAATATCAAGTACTATATGATCAGAGTATATATATATATATACCATAGTTTCTGATTCTATTAACAGAAAGTAAACATAAAAACCAAGTAAAGGGTATTTAAAAGTCACTCCACTCGCATATAAAGTTCTTTCTTGTTTTTATTACTTTCCGCTCAAATATCCAAAACATATATCCGAACCCAACTTAATCGCGATCCCAATTTATTGATCTCGATCTCAGATTACCACAACTACTCACTCCCCCAAACCGAAAATCCAAAATTCCGATGAGCATGTAGTTTTTGTGGAACGCGGCTGCCCGTTATGTTGACGCGGCAACTTGATACAAACACAAGTGGCTTGCCCCTAAAGACTGCTCTAACTTTAATTGTACCGCCAACACATAGCCAACAGCAGAATGTTTATATACTTTTGTACATACATAACTTATACATATGTTTCTACGCATTTTCTTGGTATATAGAAGGAGACTGCGAGGGCCTTTCAGTTCCTTGTTAGATTTTTTCGGGACTAAACTTCACTTACGATCTGGCAGTCTGGCGAGTCGGTTGTGGTTTTACTTTTTGGAAGATCATATCTAAATCGGAAAATTAAATCATTATAGGAAGTTGTATTTTAAACAAGTGAGTTTAGAAAATAATGTAAAATCAAAAAGTGCATAAAGTGAGAATGAAAATATTAAAAAAAAAAACATTCAAAAGTAAAGAAATTCGTGAAAAAGGAAATTATATTGTAAAAAAAAAATGATTTTAAAAATATTTTAAAAACAATCTAACTGAAATTTATCCCAAAATGATGTGAAAAATTACTTCCTTTTCAGAATAAGCCAACTTGATGAGCAGTAAAAAACCTAAATCTTTACCCAGAAAAACCCAAACAAAAATGAAACCAACCCAAACCCAAACTCCAGCCAGTGAGAATCCCAGCCAAGTCATCAATATTGACCAGAAATTCCTATTTTATGTCAACATATTCGAAATGGTGCAGATACTACCAAAATTCAATGGGAATCATTATGCCTTAACCAATTTTATACGAAGCGTAGAAGATATTGTTATAAATATTGTAAAAGGAATCTATGAAACAGAGTGTCCAATTTTCATATTGCGAGCTATTAGAAGAAAAATTGTGGGCAAGGCCAACAGAGTGCTAATCAAAGAGCGAACGAACCTAAATTGGAATGATATTAAAGAGACTTTAATAGATAACTTTTCAGATCCTAGAAATATGGATACTCTAATACGCGATCTACTAGAACTTCCCAACTTGGGTCTTTCAATTTATAATTTATTTGTGGAAATATCAAAAATAAAATTAGCTTGTTTTGATATTTTAGAGAGGAAAGTTAATAATACAAAAATGTGTAAAAAACAAAAATTAGGTTTTGAGAAAAGATTCCTGGAAACGTTCATATCAGGTCTAAGGGGAACTCTACAGATTTTGGTAATATGCCAGAAACCAGAAACCCTATGGGAGGCCAATAAATTTGCAATGCAATTTACAGAGGATTTTCATCGCGAGAGAAAACTTAAAGTTTATTTGAACAAAAAGCAGAGGTAGATTGTTCTTTAACTCAAATCGTGCTTGATAGAGGGGTTGGTTGTAGATGCCAAAAAGGAAACAAATTTAGTTTCAAATATCAGAAAGAGTTTTTTACTTTCCGACTCTTTTTTTCTTTAAAATTTCAAAAATTTTCACAAAAAATCATTAAAAAGTTCCTCTATTTAGGGATCTAAACTTATTTTTTAGCTTAAGAATTTGGATTCAAGCCACCTTTTTCGTCTTCAAAATTATATAAAAATTTCTTATTATTAAAAATATTTTTATAAGATTTTTTTCAAACAAAATTTGTATTTTAAAGCTAGTTTAAGGTTTGTTTTTATCTAAAATAAGCATAAAAACAAAACATCCAAAACCACAAACTGCCTTTTATAAATATTCGGAATTATATTTTATGGAAATTTCAAAATCAATCATATTTTTTATATTTTTAAGGCAAAAATTTTACTTCTTTTAAGCATAATTTCAAGTACATATTACGTCATTTATATATGTTATACTTTTTAATATAATAATTTTTACTTTTTTATAATTTTATATTTAAATAAAACTAAATAAAAATATAAAAAATATTTTAAAACATTTCTTATATTTCTTTTTATTATTCTTAAAACATAACATCTCTGAGACACCCTCCTAATAACCTTTTCAGGACATATGACAAACTTCGCTGGCAACTTCCAGCGGATTCTCATTCACTTTTTACACATTTTTAATAAGTTCCAAGGCTTTGGGGCTTCTGGGATCTGGTCAGCCATGGGGATATGTCTCCCGTTGACCCCCCTGTACACCACCTCCCATCCCTCTGGGGATGGCTTCCTTCCTTCCTTCCTTCCTTCCGCTACACAATACACGAAGAATCCGCCATTGACCATCATTCATCATTAAATTGTTTCGCTAACTGTTTTCAACAATATTTTTTCTGGTATACGCTTGCTGACAAGCCGCTTCCTGTCGTCGTTTTTGCTACGCTCCCGAAAATTTGATGAATTTCTTTTTTATTCATTTCGTCCTTCTGCTTTTCACAGGACTCCCTCCCCAAAACTTTCCTCTCCTTTCTTTCGTTTTATTTTCATTTTATTCGAGTTCTTGCCGGGCTCCGCTTCTTGTGTCTTACAACATTTTTCTAATCAGTCAGCGTCCATGTCCGTTTCAAATTTTTTTGTTGTCTTCCTTCGATTTTCCTCTTATTGTATTTCATTTAATTTTTTTTTTTTAGGTTTTTCTTCTTTTTTTTCTGTTAGGCGCCATTTTGATGCGGGCCACTGATTATGCTTAACAAAAAAAAAAAAGGAAAAATCATGAGGGAAATATATTGGATAGCGAGTCAGGGAAAATGTACTTAAAACATGGAAAGATCTTTGATTTATCATTAAATATATAAAAAATTATTTAATTATATTTAATTGGGACTAGCTACTGACTTTTTTTATCCATTTTTTAGGCCATGCATGAAGCCAATCAGTCAGAAATAATGGTCTTTTAGATTAACTTAGCAAGCTAGTCTCTAAATTAGCAACTAAAACCTGATAACTGCAAACTTCAAAGGCACTTTCTCATGTAAAATATTCCAGCTAATTAGCTGTCATTTAATTTAATATAAATTTAACTTATCACTTTACCATTTAGATTGCATTATGCCCAATGAGAGAGGAACTTGGCAACCTTTTTGTAGCCCAGAAAACCAATCATCCGTCCATCCATTCGCTTTCGGGCATAATCCGTATATCTAGAGTCCTGTATCTCGTTATGACGCCCTGTGTGTCGCGGGGAAGCAGCGTCTCAAAGTTTTTGGCCCACTGAATGGGTTCAAAAAGTGCCATAAAACACCCGCTAAGCAGAACTTTCCGCGGGGGGGAGAAACGAACGCGGCCAAAGTTGGCTTTATGCCGGTGGTATAATCAAGGATCAGTGCGGCAGTCGAGGAGTCGGATGGAGTCAGGAGCCAGACCAGTCAGAAGCCAGGACCATGACTACGTGTCCACAAAGTGGCGCTCGGAATGGGAAAAGGGATGGGAATGTAGAGGAGTTGGAACTGCGGGTGCGGGCGAAAAGAAATGATAATAATGCTCGGGTCAAAACAATATAAATGCAAATGCAACGGCGTCAGCAGCGCAGTCGACGTCGACTCAGCGCCTTTTACGGTCCTGCAACGCATTTTAATCAGTTGACAGTGGGACTCCAGCTCCAGCTCCGGCTCCGATTCCGACTGCAGATCCTCCATCCACCCATCCACCCAACTTCCCCATTGCCAATCCCAATCCTTGACTTTCCGCGGAGCAGTGTCCTGTCCTGAATGCCAAGTGCGGAGCAACGTCAGCGGGGGACAGTTTATGAGGATGGCGCGAGAGGCGCGAAAAGTTTACGCCTGCGGCTCGAAAGGGGGGGCGTGGCAACGGATGGACGGATGTGGCATGCACTCGGCAAAAATATTTATCAAGATTTTTCTTTAAATTAATTACCACGATAGAAGCTTCATACAAAAGTTTTCAGAGGTTTGCAGTTATCAATTTTAAATCGCTTAATAAATATTAAGTTAAATTAAATATAAAAAATAAATAAAATTAAATTTTACATGCAACAATTTTACAACAATGATCTCGACTATTTGGTGGTAATAATAATAATAATCTTAACCCGCAAATTTTTCACTACCAAAGTCCGAGCCGCAGAGACGACTTTCGATCCCAAAAAAACAACAAAATTGTTAAAAATGTTTAAAATCAGAAGTTAAAACTAACTACAAAAAGGTAAAGAGGATATAAATTTCCTATCAAACGACCGATAAGAATATTTAAGTTTACAGAATTCAAGAAATCAGACCACATGGCTTTTGTTTTTCTGGAATCTTAACTGATGTGAGAGCTTGATGACTTAATCAAATACTGCCCATGGACTACGACATCCTTCCTAAGGTCAATAAGGTCGCATGTTTCGAAGGAATAAGCTTAGACTTTCCTCGTCCCGGTAGACTGGTTAAAGAACAATTCGCTTTGGTGGACCATTCCGCTCATATTTTCCGGATTCAATATTGGTTTCTGGGCAGTGACTTCGCCATTGCTCAATAAGGTAAAGACGGCGACGGCATTGCTCAGAAAGAAATAATGCATCCGAAGGTGAAATGCAGCTGAAATGGATAAACCAAAGTATATTATCCTATATAAAGCGTCATCTACACACCCTACGATAGGACTGCGTTAGTCCTTGCTCTTGTTTTTCCTCAAACGGCTAACAAAAAATAATAATCTGTTTCTCAAATCTAACACCATACAACATTAAAAGCCTTATTTTGTCTATTTTGCCTATTAAGTTCCATTATTAAATACTCGAAAGTGGCATTTAAATGAAATAAATGTCCTTAAGACTAAGTATAAATAATTATAGAAAAAATATTTTAGAGCCTTACCTTAGTTTTGCATATAATTCCAGGTTCCTGTTGGTATATTTTACATCTTAAAGCATATTACACTTTCCTTTTCCACACAAAACGTCTCCTTTCCGATTTGCATCAAATTTTCCTGTGAAAATATTTCAAATGTGTTTATAACTTTTTAAAAATTAAATACATACTCACATTTCCACTTGCTCAAATGTCTTTTAGCATACAAAAATAGGTAAATTCACCATTTGAATAATATTCACTGAAGAAAACTTAAGAAACAGCCCTGAGGCCAAGAAATATCAGTAATACAAAGTTTACCGTTAAAAAGGTTGTTGTATACAAGAGAATAAATACGAGAATATGTTTGATTTTGGTAGATAATTAAAATTAAAGCCGAATCAGTGATTCGTACTCATTGATTTCATATGCATTGTATTCACTGTAAGTGCAGTTCTTATGCCTAATAATCGCATTATACGTATGTTTACACATACAACTGTACTTGCGGAAGAATAACTGTTAGCCGTTTGGCAAGCCAAACAAAGGCTTAGAAAACCTCATAAAAGCAATGAAAAAATACATTTTAGCGCCATCTACATACCTCGATTTTCAATATTATTCAAGGTTCTAATTGGGATTAATTAACATAAGCCTATTTATTACCTTGATTTTCCTCCCAAAGCGAAGCAAATGCGATTTCCCATATTTATGTACATGTATGTATGTGAATAGCTTAAGCCAGATTCACATGTACACATATTACATACATACATACATATGTACATATTTGTAAAGTGTCTCACAGACATCCATCACTTGTCCAGCGGAGCACCCCTTCCATTTTCGCACAGAAAACAGCTAAATTCACTATTAACACAATTAATCTTAACCAATTTGCAAAGCACAGTCCTGCGATCACTTGTTATTTATTAATTTAACACTTTTTATAACTTTTTAAAACACTTTAAAACCAAACGCAAATTTACTATAAGCAATCAACCGTTCGTGGTTGCAAATTATTCAGACTGACAAACGAGTGAGAAAACAACAGTTATCTCTGTCGATAGGCGAGGGAGGGGAAGCTTGCAAAGATCTGCACGTTACCTCTGTCTCTCATTTCGTTTCTCTCTTCACCAACAAATTCAATTCATACACTTTAAAAAGAAATTCGGAAATTAAATTGGTCAATATTATCTATATATGAATAATATTAATATTAAATAAATTAACAAATATTAAAGAATCATAGATGAGAAAAATGTTTACCTCTTTTTATAAAATATAATAAATATTTTATATGTTATTGAATAAATATTCAATAATATATTTTATAAAACAATTAAAGTAAGAGATCAAATATACTAACTATTAAAGAACTGATAAGAATTACTACATATAATTATTTTTATAATATTTATCAACTTTTTTCGCTGTGTAATATTATGTCCACCAAAAATTGTTATGCTTTGCTTTGGCAAAGAAGAGAAGACGAAATGAGAGTGGAGATGGAAGGCAAAGATCTTTGCGAAAGCGTTTCTAACTGTAATCCTCTTTTCTGTGCCTGCGCTTTCAAGTTATCTTCTTCTTTTTCAGTCATTCAGTTTTCATTCTTAAAGAGTTTCAGTCGGAGTTGGGTTATTGTGATCTTTTCCCCCTTAAAAGGTGTTAAGAAGTGTAATAAAGTGTTTAATTAATAGATTAATAGTGATCTTAACATTGGATTACGAGTTTTCTTCATAATAATATTGTCTAAATGGCCAATTAAAATGTTGTTTGCCACAATGAAAAGGGTGCTCCGCGGGACAAGTAAAAATGTATGTAGATAAGTACATATGTAATTAAGTGTGTATCTTAATTTGTAAATTTACATAAATATGTATGTATGTACATAATTTAAATTTCAGAAATGTATTCGGAAATGATTTTTGCGGAAGAATGATATTTTTAAATGCTACAAACCCCAATAAGAAATTTGAATTACATGTGAAATTATGATTAGTACCCTCAACATATTTTTTCATTGCTAAAATTACCAAACCAATATTATTTTAAAACTTTTTATACAGATTCCTGCTTCAACGACTAAGGAAATGCATTTGTTTCATATCGGTTAACACATTTATCTTTAAATTTATTATTATCCCAATCGCCTGCTGTTGCGGCACCTTTGTCCAGTTTACGGAATCTACTTGGCTCCTTATCTGCAGCAGCGGAGATTAGAGATGCTTCATATTGATATTTCCACGGTTTTCGCCACAAAAGTTCTCTAAGCCATTGATTCCTTACGATTAATGCTAAAAAAGAAAAGCGAAAACCAGGAAAGCTCTATTCCCGTGCGTCAGTGCCAATGTACGTTCTTATAGCCCCAATTTCTGATTTTTGCAAACCTTCAAACCTTTTTTCACCCCAATTAAAATGTAATTTTGTACATATTTCAAGAGGAATCCGCAAAGCATCACTTTATTGTAAACACAGTACTTTATTGGAAGTCCACTACTAGACTAAATTTCCAGCGGCTCCGTTCCCCAGAAGATCCAGACCGACTCAGCGAAGAAATTCCTCGCCTCGGAAGAGAATGTTCCTTATATAGGGTAATATATGTACTTTGGATGATCAGTTTCTGGTTCCGCTGATCCCTGAATACAATATTTCTTAAGTTTCTTGTACCATGAACTCGCAATTAGCCAGAAAGATGTAGACCCTCTATACCTTATTGGGTAATAGCGAGTTCGCAGTACAAAAAGAAATATTGCATCCGGGAGATAAGCTAAACCTAAATCTGAACAACCAAAGTGTATTGTCCCTTGAAAAGAAACTTGTCTGCCATGACGAGAAAAGTCTTTGCTGTGACGATCTGCAGATATTCTGCAGAACGTGGCCGCTATCAAAATTCAAAAATAGTGAAAAATTTGTAAACTGGAATTACAGGAATTAGGAATGTTGTAGAAGTCCATAGCCGGGATTTGATGAGTCACATTAATGCGTTCACATTAATGCAAGGTTGAAGATTCCAGAAAAGCAAAAGCCATGTGGTCTGATTTCCTGAAATACCCAAATATTATTATTGGTCGTTCCGGAACATTTATATTTTCTTTACCTTTTTTTTTTTGAGTTTTCTTCTTCTGATTTCAAACATTTTTCACAATTTTGATGCTTTTTGGGATCGAAAGGCGTCTTAACTGCTCGAACCTTGGCAGTGAAATAATTTACCATTATGAAAAACCTAACCTCATTTGTCAGAAAAAGGCATTGCCAACTTGATTCAAAACGTGGCACAACCAAATGTGGCAACACGAAAAGCATATGTTTCTTAACACTGCTCAACAGTGCCAATAGATGATTTTAAACTTTGTTTTAAGATTAATATTCTTGTCTTTCGAAAATTTGCATTGGAATCTGCGGGAACCGGATTGCGATTTATTATTCGGTACTTAAATGTTACCATTACGAGTTCACCGCAAGTAGAAAAATTGCATCCAGAAAAATGTATTGTCACTTAAGACGGAACTGGTTTTCCATGACGAGAAAAGTCTTAGCTGCGCCGACCTTGAACTTCTGCACAACGTGACCGTTATTCCTTCTTTAACAGTTTCGTTAGTGAAATAATTTTTTACTGAGACAATACGAACTTCTTTCGACACAATAAAGTCATGGCCAACTTGATTCAAAACAAATTAAGATTTTAAATTATTTCGATTGGCGAGTTCTATGTAATGTAATCTACGTTTTAATAAGAAACTTATATTTTTTACCTTTTTCTAACTAGTTTTAACACTTTGTAATTTTTATATTAAATGTTCATTAAAATTTTTTTGATTTTTAGGGATCTAATGATATGCTTTCTGCTCGTGCTTCTGAGGATAAACTATACTCACGTAACACTAAAAGTCATGGCCAACTTGCTTGAAAACCAATTCAAAAATGTGGCCTACTACGTTGGATTTCTCCTTAAAAACCCGAGGCATATGATCTTCTATATGGTTACCTTGACCTTTCTTACATGAGTTAACTTTAAAAGAAAACTTGACTCATTAGTTCTTTGTTTGCAGTGTACTTCGGATGAAAAAAGGTGTTCACAGTTTGGCGGGCATCATTGGGATGGCTCTGGACCGCCCTTACCTGTTGCCTGGCCATAAATCATAACTCAATTGAGTGGGCGTGGCGGAGAACCCACAGGAAGATACGTAGCGTGCAGTATGAAATGGAATTGATTGCGAATATCCCAAGATTGGAGAAGCTTAAAAAGAGTTTCACCAGTTTTCGGTGACCACCCACGACCATAAATCAATCGTTGGCCAAGGATAATTCCCACTGATGCGATTAGCCAACCCGCCACCACCAAAGTTAATCATGGCAACCGATAACTGTTGGATCACAAGCTGAAATCGGTGGAGAGCGTATTGGTGTACCCATATGTATGGGGAGTATACCGAAAATATCGAAGGAGTATCGAACAACTTCGTTATGCAATTATTGGCAGTGCGCTTTTCCGAATTTCGCTTCGAGGGAGAAAAGTGCGTGGATGCATGGGGCATGGAAAAGGCGAAAGGCGATGAAACTCGCTTTTCTTATTAACTAATTAAGCCAGCTGCCAGGCCAGATGTTGCCACATTTTCCCCGGCATGTGTGTTGCCAATTTAACGCTCTGGCTTTGTCGTCGCTTTGTGTCTTCGCTGCTGGTATAGTTTTTTGGTCTTGGCTTGGGGAAATTTGCATTTCCATTTGCCTGCAGCGGGCGTAAGTTGCAGCTGAAACTCAGGCTGAAGGCGCCCTCCCCCCTCAAACTCTGTTCCAATTTTAATGAATTGCCGAAAATCGCACAAATGCTAAACGAAAATTCAATTTGCAGATATAACAACAAGCTGGAGAAAGGCCTAAATCGAGTCAAGAGAATTGGAAATACCCTGGGGAAGACTAAAGAGATGGTGGAAATCAAGTCGATGTGTTTTATGTGACGGAAGGATTGTATTCGATTGGATTTTTAGGATAAATGGAAATATGTAAGTGCTTTTTACTTTATTTTATTTAATATATTTATGGGTAATGGCTCTGCAAGGTTTTTACTTAAATATGAAAAAGATTTATTGCTAAAAAATAACTTTTAAGAGCAGAAAATCAATCATTTAGCTTCTAAATTCCATTCTAAAAGCCTCAAAAGGCAACGTAAAAAGTAGAAAACCATTTTTAAAATCAGGTAGCCTTACTTTTAACTCGATTCTTAAAATATTACTTGCCGAATGCATCCAAATTACTGGGTAGAAAAACAACTGCTAGAGTCTTTTGCCTTAGTAACAATAAATAAATTGCACATTTGCGGACGTCGACGCCTTTGCAACTCTGCCAGCAAATTGCCGTTGATTGAATTTATGTGTGTCAGGGGGCGTGAGGGGAAAGTGTGGTGGTGGATAGAGGGAGGGGATAGAGTGAGAAGAGAAGATCGCAAGGGGCGTGGCAAACAAACACACAGGCACAAAGATACACAAAAGACTCTTACATGCTTCATTATTTCTGTGGCTAAATTAAAGGATAATAGATTTATATGCTTGCCTGGGCCCAAGCAGAAATCCATAAGATACACACATACGTATATACTAGAGCAAGAGTATCTCGCAGATGCAGAGGAAAATGCAGATGTAAATGCAGATGTGCACACAGTGCTTAACCAGGGTTGTCAGGCGTTAAGAAAAAGCAGCTAAATAAAAAAGTTTTAGAATCATTTTTGTTAAAGAAGTCGTTAAAAGACATCTTTTAGTGAAGAGAAAATTTAAAATATGAGTTATAATATAGAATAACTTTTAGTTTTAACATTTTGTAAGAGGTAAACTTTGTAAAAGTTGAGATTTTGAGGTTTGAAAGCCATTGGATTAGCAATTCTTTCCTATTTCCTTTCAATTTCCCTAAAGAAAAATCTGGAACATAGTTCTACTGACATTTTTTCTTTAAAAAATTCTTTAAAAATCAAAACACATCCATCTAAAAACTAGATAGAATGCCATCACTGGCTCTGACAGCTTTAAGAAAGTAGAGGAATAATAATAATACCAAGCCAGGCCAAAGGCCGAGAGCATCTCAATCCTGCGTGTTGCTGTTTCTGCTGGGCGAAACGAACCCATGGCTTGGCCAAAGAATTTTAAATGAAAAATATTTGAAATATCAAAAATGTTTATGTTGATTTTCCCCTCCCCGCACCCGCTTCGGCACATCTCTTTCTTCTCTGTCATTCAGCTGCTTCTCGATTTTCCACAGCTAAGGCAGAATTTTTCCTTTTACGACAGGGAAATTGGTGGCCTGAAAAGAAGTATGACAAATCATGATAAAAAAAATAGCATAAATGTATCTAAAAACTAGGATAGGAGATGATACCCTTAGCTCGTTAATTTATTAGGTAAAGTTTTCTAGAAGTTTTTATATTAAAATATTTTTAAAATTAGAAGAAAAGGGATAGCAAATAGCAACTAAATATTAGATTTTTTTGAGCAGTTTGAGATTTAACTGAAACGAAGACTGTCTGCAGTGGCTTTTGTCTTTGTGTTTTTGTATATTTTGATTTAAAGCTACAAAAACCGCAAAACGTGACAAAATCACAAATTCCAAGCGAGAGATAATCATGAGATGGGGTTAGCTTTAACGTTTACAGAAAACCTTGACTAAGAAACAAGTTAGAAAGATTTTTAAAAGGCATTTATTATTTGTGTTTAGAAAGAAATAAAAATTAATGAAAATTTCAATTTAAAATCAGGCTTTAAAGAAACTTCCCTTTAAGAAATCTATCAAATATTTTTAAACAAAAATCAATAAAAGTTGAAATAATTGCTAGACATTTTCCTTTAGCTGTCGTCTGAACTTCACAGATACAGAGATAACAATTTGCATGTATCTTTGGGTTAGATAATTTAGCATATTTTACGTTAGCCGCTGCACTTGTTTGAGAATGTAGAAAAACCGCACTACAATTTACCACAAATTCGGCCACATGGAGTCCACTTGCTCATCCACAACCACCCCTCCCCCCCTTAGAACACCCCCATCTTTCTCACTCTCTGTCTTACTAACCAAACCCAAAAATTCACTTGAACTCTCACTTAATTTTTGCTAATTTCTACTGTTGTTGGCCTTTTGCCTGCCTTTCGGTCGTTAGGCAAATGATTAAGTAATTGCTTTGGCTCAAAAAAGGAGGCGGAACTGGTACTGGTTAGCTGTTGTTGTTGTTGTTGGGGACAGAGGGTCGCCGGCTCATGACCATCAGTGGCTCATTAGCTGGGCCAAAAAAAAAAAAAAAAAAAGGAAAAAATTACAAAAAGGCAGCAACCAGCCTGCTACAAATGAGCTGAGGAATTACACGGAATGAAGAGTGGCAAATTGAGTGAAGGAGGAGAGACTTTAAAAACGTAGAAGATCGGAAAAAGGGGGGAGGAGTGGCAGTCAGTGTGGCGGTTTTATTGCATAAATTAACTTGGCCAAACACAATTTTGCAATTATTCTGCAATTAATAATTAATGTGGCCCGCTGTCCGAGAACCGCAGGGCGACTGCGATGGCTGGGTTGTGGCTGCTGAGATGAGTTAAGGTTCTGGCCTTTAAAAACGGCTTTAAGCCAAAGTGATTTCCCCTCCCCACCTCTAGAAAGAAAAAAAAGAAAAACATTTGCTCTTCAAGCTTTGCGGTTGAGTTGTCATCTGGTATCTGGAGAACTGAGAACTTAGAACTTGAATCTCCTTGTTGCCGTCTGTCACTTCATTACTGTCACATGATAACTGGAAATTGTTGAGCCCTGCCCTTGGCTTTAAGTGGCTTTCACCTTGACGCCACCCACTGCTGGCAATGCTTGTATAAAAAGGCGATATGGTATGGCCACAAGGGAACTCATTACGGCCAAGTCCGGCCAACAAGTCGCATTCTGTGGAATGAGATTGGCGAGTGTTTGTGTCCATTTGGCGTACGTTTTATGAGGACTCATCCCCACGGCGAAAACACCCCGTGCAATTGTAGTCGGCATGTGTGAGGGAGGGTATGAGAAATCGTAAGGGTAGACAGGTTAGATACCCTAGGAAAGTTAATATAGGTGTTAAAAAGTTTATTTTGGTATATAAAATATAAGAAAATGTTATGAAAAAGTTATATAATTTTCCCCAAAAGCCTTACAAAACCCAAAACAACCCTAAGTAGAAGCTATTTCTAGGGTATTGGTATAAGATCAGCATCCGCATCTCTCAGACGCATTCTGGGTATTATTGGAAATCGTGCGCTTCGTTAGCGGCAAATATGTTGCAAAGTAGCCCCAGACAAGCACCCACAAGGAGCCCTTAGCCAGCCCACTACTCATCCTCATCCGATTTCCACAGATATTGACCAAAGGAAAAGCCAGCGTTGAAAGCCTATGTATGGGTGTATGTGTGTGTGTGTGTGTGTGCCAGTGACTAGCCACCACTTTTCCTGTGGATGACAGTTTTCTTGGGCTCTGGCATCTAAGACGACGTTTCTTATATATATTTTTCTCTTCCTCTTTGCCACCCCCAAAAACGGAATTTCCGCCTCCCAGAGACGAGTCTTTGTGCGTCTTTCGGTTTTTGGCTTTGTTGCCTCGAAGCTTATCATTTATTGCTGCTGATTGCTTTGGCTGTCCATACAAAACACCCAGGACAACCCCCTTCTTCTCCCCCAACACCACCCACCCCCCGAAGGACAACCTCTCTTTCGGTTTTTGCATATGCATATGCGTAGCAAACGAAATGAAACGAATGCAGGAGGCAACAAAAAAAAAAAGAAGAAATGTGCCAATAAAGAAATTTAATTTAATTTCCAACTTTGAGATATACATGGGTGTGTGTGTGTGTGTGTGTATCTGGAAAAACCCAACTTTGAGCCCCCTTTTTTTTTGTTTGGTGAATGGAAATCGAAACGCATTTGTCAGCATTTCGCATTTAAACTTTTCGCCTTTAAGTGCAATTTTGAAACATTTTGCGGCAGATTAAATGGCTGAATTGAGGCGGGATTTGGTTTTGGGATAAGGCTTTGGTTAAGGTTTTTTTTTACATATGTTTATCATATTGCAGGGGTAGGGGGGAATTAGAATGGTTTTTTTGTTATGATGATATTGGAAAAATGAGGAAAAAGAGGATATTTATTGGGGATAAGGGTTGGGGTTGTAACGAATGGAGGATATTCATATTTTGTGAGCTGTTTAATCAGGGTTTTTGATTCGTTTATATATTCTACCCTACATAAATGTTGTTTAAAATGTGTTGAATTTATTAGATAGGTGTAAAATGATATAGATAATAGACATCTTATATTTTAAGGGATATAGACTTTAGACTGACTTAAGATAGTATTCCTTACTTTGTGAGCTGTGTAATCACGGTTTTAGATTCATTTATATATTTATTCTACGTAAATATGCTATAAAATATGTGGAAATTCCTAGATAGGTTGAATATGATATAGGCAAAAGACATATGTTAAGGAATATAGACTTAAGATGGACTGAAGATTGTAATAGAAGATATACCATATTTTGTGAGCTGTTTGAAAGGGGTTTTAGATTCGTTTAGATATTTATCTTAGGTAAATATGTTATAAAATATGTATAAGTCACAAGATAGGTGTAGTATGATATGATATGATATGTAAAGGACATAAGTTAAGGAATATAGACTTAAGATAGACCTAAAATTGTAGTAGTAGAAGATATTCCATATTTTGTGAGCTGTTTAAAAGAGGTTTTAGATTCATTTATACATTTATTCTACATAAATGTTGTTTAAAAAATGTGGAAATTATTATATAGGTCTTATATGATATAGATAAAGGACATATGTTGAGGAATATAGGTGTAAAATGATATAGAAAATGGACATATTTTAAGGATTATAGACTTGAGACTGACATAAGATTGTTATAGTCGAAGATATTCCATACTTTACTTTACTGTTTAATCAGGATTTTAGATTCGATTCTTAAAAATATATGGGTAAGGCACAAGATAGGTGGAAAATGATATAGGTTAAGGATATACTTTAAGGGATATAGACTTAAGGTTGTAATGGTAGAAGATATTCATTATTCAGGGTTTTAGATCCGTTTATATACTTACCCTATATAAATGCTTTTTAAACTATGCGGAAACTATTAGATAGGTGTAAGATGATGTAGATACAGGACATACGTTAAGGGATATAGACTTGAGACTGACTTAGGACTGCAATAGTGGAATATAATTTATATTTAGTGAGCTGTTTAATCAGGATTTTAGATTCAAAGCTATAAAATATGTGTAGGTCCTAAGATAGGTGGAATATATATATAGGGATATAGACTTAAGATGGCCTTAAGATTGTATCAATAGAAGATATTCTATATTTTGTGAACTCTTTAATCTAAATCTTACATTCTATCATAGATTTACCACACAAAATGTGGTTTCAAATGTGTGGACTTCTACAGAGTGGCCCATGTAACGTTTGCTTTTTGAACTATCGATAATTTTGACTTTAACATTACGAATGTCATTCTAAATGTGTCAGATATTTAGTATAAGGTTTGCGGTTTACAAAATGGTTAAGATTACGCTCGAAGAAAGTTGGAAAATATTGATAGGCAAATCTTCCATGGACCCTATAATAGGAACCTATTAATATGTTGGCTATTAAAGCTTATCCATCTACAAGTCTTTATATGACATGATTTTTTTTTAAGTAAAATTAAGAATTCTTCCATTGCCAATCACTGAAACCCAGAATATTATGATATTCTAAACTTCTTAGTAAAAGAAAGAAAGAAGTAAAGAAGGTACCTAATGATATGGTTCATTAGGGACCTTCTTTAAAAATCAATCTAGTCTAGTACGTTCTGCATACTTAACCCAAACTAAACAAGTCGACTCTGAGCCGAGTGTCAATGTCGTAGTCATTCGGTTTGGATAGACGCTTGCCTCACTTTCAGTTCTACTTTTAAAGTAAACAGATCAAAACGAGAAATTCAGTTTCGGGAAAGTGACTTCAAGTGAACGAATATTTTTTCGGGTTTCCAATTGATTGGTGAGTGAAAAGCTTACACAAAATATACAAAAAAAAAAAAAAAGAAAAGGGAAATACAGAGGTTAACCCTCTGAAGGCCACACAGCCAACCCTCCCACTCTCCAACTCCAACGCGTTTTTCACTGCGGCCGCCAGAAATTGTTTGCGATTTTTATCATTTTAAATGGACGAACAACAAGAGGATGCCGCGAAGAGAAGAAGAGGAAAAAGTGTGTGTGTGTGGCGCAGTCAAGTGGCGGGCATTTAATGCCCATTTTGTTGCCTCTTGTTGTTGCGATCTCAAAGGCGGATTTGCATTATAATTTATTGCACTGCCGCCTGCATACTCTTTGTCCTTGGTTTTTCTCCTCCTTCTTTCATTTTCTTACTTTTTCTACGCTCTCGCACTTCTTTTTGCCTTGGCTAATTTCGATGCCAAGCTGGTGATAAGAGAAGCGTTTTCTTTAAATGAGTTTTTATTCCCCACGGGGCATGGTGGTCATGGGGTGTGGGGGATGTGGGCGCACGGAAAACTTCTCAGGCCAAAAAGGCGTTGAAAATCCCGTTCTTAATCCTTGACGCCGCGCAAAACATTTATAAATTATTAATTTCCTTAGCCAACAGCCCATCTCCTCCATCTCTCACCCATCCAGTCAGTCTTTGTTCGCCTTTCATTGTTTTTTTTCTATGGCCAGGTAAGGGGGTGTGGGGTTTGCTGGATTAATGCCAGTTTATTCATATGTGCTGTGTGTGTTCCCCCAAAAAACAACAACAACAAAGGGCTGGCACAAAACGCTTTGGCTTAAATTGTCTCGTATTTTTATTAGTCCAAAAGCTGCGTCGCTGCAAAACCAACACCCAACATTCTAAGCACCACCCACTGTGTTACCCTCCCCCACTTTTTGCAGCCACCTGAAAAGGCTAACTGCGACACGTAGCTTATTAGCTGTGAAAACAAAAACTTTCATCAGCTCGTGTAAGCCAGGTTTTTGGTTGAAAAACGTTCCAAGACCATAAACTATAGTTTTCAATAGCAATAGCAAATCCTGGACTGAAATCAATGCGACTAACTAAAATGAAACTAAACGAAGTTCTGAATACCTAGTAAGTTGCTTTGGGCAAGATAAAGAGGGGAGATTTTGTGAGATATTTGGAGAAAGGGTTAAGTTTAGATGCTATATATAGAAATATATATCCAAGAGTTAATTTATTTATGATCTGAGGAGTATCTTTATAGCATTTTAAACCTTTTCCTATATCAGTTAGTATTTTCAAGCTTAAAACTCTTTCTTAGACTTTTTTTTAACATTTAACTCCTTAAATTTTCCCAACTAAGAGGTCAGAAATGCTTGATTTTCCTCATTATTTCGTTAAGCAAATCCTGGACTGAAATCAATGCGACTAACTAAAAGGAAACTAAGCGAAGTTCTGAATACCTAGTAAGTTGCTTTGGGCAAGATAAAGAGGGGAGATTTAATGATATTTGGAGAAAGGGTTAGGTGTAGATGATATACATAGATATATATATACAAGAGTTAGTTTATTTATGATCTGAGGAGTATCTTTACAACATTTTTAACCTTTTCGTATATCATATTAGTAATTTCAAACACATAAACTCTTTCTTAGACTTTTTCCTTAAATTTCCCAAACTAAGATATCAGAAATACTTGATTTTCCTCATTATTTCGTTAATAACTTTACAAAAGTAAAATTTTATCATTTACAAGATTAAATGCCTCATTAAAAGCAGCTCAAACTGCCTTAACTAATTGTTATGCGATATTCCAGTTTTGATTATTCCCCGCAGTTGCTAAATGCAAAATAATTAGGGCTTCGATTTTTGGACAGCCACTGCACGATTTTAGCTTGTTTATATAGAAGACAATTCAGTGAATATTTTGACATTTAACATGTAATTTAATACTCGTACTAGGGAACAACGTCCATCTATAGACCCTCCCTTTTTTTTTTTTTTTCTTTGAGGTGGGGAGGGAGTGCAAAAATCTGTGGCTGATTTGGTTTTACGAGCTGGCAAATGGGAAATTGTTTAATTATTTAGTAACCCAATGCTTAAAAGCTTAACAAGCAAAGGCCATGCTAATGATGGGCGGTTCAAGTGGGCGTGGTAACTTAGCAACGTAGGGCAGCGCTCCTAACTCTGTCATAATTTGGCCAAAAATGTTGATGCCGCCATTAAATCAGTGAGAGAGAGAGTCACCCGTTGTCGTCTTCGTCCTGTTGACCACAGAACCTTTCAACCCGGTTTCGGATTCGGTTTAACCATCAACCATCTCACTCACTCTCTTCCTCCTTTGTGTGCCCACAAAAGTGTCAATAAACGTGGCCAAGATGGCTAGAGCCAGGATCTCTCGCCCCGGGGCCAGCTGGTGTCCTTAGCCTGGCCAAACAATAAAATATTCAAAGTTTATAATGTAAATTAACCCAAAGTTGCCTGATGTCCTGTGTCGCGTCGTCGTTCTCTCGACTGCTGCCTGGCCTCATGAATACACAATACACATGTCCCCCGGAAATTGGTAGGTCACCCCTTTTGTGGCCCTCTGACCGCCCCGCCCGCCCATCCATAAGTTCTAATATTTCTCGTCTCCTACTTGGGCCTGGCCAAGGATTTGTCCTGGTCTTGTCCCTCTCTCTACCCTCTGTTTGGCTAATCAAATTTTATTGGGCCACTGAGTGCTGGGCTGTTGTGGGCAATGGGCGTGGCATCTAGTTAAAATTGCATCGGGAAAATGGTCAATAGGAAACTATATTTTAATGAGATCAATATGAACGGGGACTTGGGCTTTCTGATTAAGTTTTAGTACGAATATTGTTTTTTTATTTTATTAATTGCAAGAAGCTATATGTAAGTTTTAATATTTTTAAGATATTTTCTTTAAAAGGATAAATATTTATGATTTATAATGTAATTAAGACAGAAAATCTCTGAGCCTGAATCCTTTTGAAAAAATATGCCCAAAAGTATGCTATGAAAACTGTTGCATAGCATTTTGCCATTTATTTCTTTGAAATTTCTAATTTAAATTATACAGAGGCATGCTTTTAGGCTTTCTAAGAGATTTAACACCTTGATTTCTGTTAGCTGCATATTTCATTCCCCTTAACTTCTCCTAATTAATTCATAACTCTAATTACTATCCTAGATATTAAGTGACGAATGTCTTAATTTGATATATATGCCAATATGGCTATAGGTATGGCCTTCTGATTCAGCTTTTCCTGCTTGTAAATTGACCTTTGATCGCTGCCCAAATCCTAACATTCGACTACCGGTTTTCGCCCCCCGACCCATTTCTATCTGGGGACTTTAGTGATGGGTTCTCCTGCTTAACTAGCCGCTTATTCATCAAAGCTCCAAAAGCCGAAAGCCGGGGGAATGATGAATGCCCCTAGCAAATCGGATGAGATGCGAGCAAGTGGAAGAGCCATCTCAAATGGAGATGATGATGGAGGTGGAGATGGAGATGGAAGTGGAGACTCTAGTGGTCACATGCCAGAGCCCGTTCAAGTGTTGTTGGGACATAAACATCTCCAGGCCCACATGAAATGTCATCTTTCATTAGATTAACGATTGTTCCAGTGACTGGAATGGGGTGATGGGGGGGGAGGCGAGGACGGCGTCCAGTGGCAAAGCTCTCTGCCCGAAATCAAATCTTCAACAATCTGTTCTGCCAAATGCCTTAGCACACACACACACACAGAAACACACAAAAACACCCAAAAACACATACAGGGAGAGATGGCCAGAAAAGGGAGAGGGGAATCTCTGGCATATGGCTACCCGCAAAAAAGTGTCAAATGCGTGGAGACACAGGCTATGGGAAAGGGAGAGGGGGAAGGGGAAGAGGAGGATGGTGACGGAGGGAGGGGTAAGGACGAGCCTATGGCGCCAGGAACAAAACCAGGACTAGGGATCCAGGACGACTGTCAACTTGAGCCTGACAAAGTATTTGCGGCTTGCCAGTCATTTTTTGTATTTGTGGAAAGGGGCCTAGAGATTGTGTGGGTGCACTGAGAAAAAACTATAGGTTAGTTTAATATAAATTTTAGTATTAAAAATATTTTATTAAAATAAGTAAGCTAAGAGATAAAGTTATGTAGTTTTTAATGCTAATTAAGTTTCAGTAAGTAAGTAATCAATTTTTTTCCAAGTGCATCTATTTGCTGACTGACCAGCAGGAGAAGGGAGGTAGTAGAGAATCATCAGTGGGTTGAAGTTGAGGGAGTCAGCTGGTATAAAAGCAAATGAGGCTTGCAAACCAAATGCAAATTAATATGTGGTGCTGCAGGGCGGGAATCCTCTGCCACCCCCTGCACCCTCCACCTCCCAAAAAGAAAACCAACCCTACTTCTCATCAAACTGACCTCGACTCATTTCCAGGCATCCACTAAAAAGTAGCCATGTCGCTGAAAGCGGAGGAGAATCCTTTTACGGGATCGGATGAAATGTCTGAGGATGCTCTCCCCACTAAGGAGGAAATAATCCAAAAGGAAGACTATGTTAGTCCGAAAATGGAAATGATGGAGGTAGAAGATGATATTCTTAAAATGAAAATGATGGAAGTAGAAGAAGCTACTTCTAAAATGGAAATCTTGCAGATAGAAGATGCTACTCATAATATGAAATTAACCCAGAAGGAAGTCGATGACGATCCTAAAGTTGAAGAAATGAAGAAAGAAGAAGTTACTCCTATAATTGAATTATCCCAGAAAGAAGAAGATAATACTCCGAAAATTGAAATATCTCAAGAAGAAAATCTACTTTCTCCGAAAATAGAATTAACCCATGAAAATGAAAATGTTAATCCTAAAATGGAAGACAATCTTCTTACTCCGAAAATGGAAATTTCTCAAAATGAAAATCCCGCCGAGGTTGCCCCCACTTCGGTTATTATGGTCGAAGAGCCAAACACTATCATCGAGCTGGTTGATCTCTATGTACCACCTGTATCTTGTGTCCCGGGTAAGGTGTTCTTCATGAAGAACGATGGATCTGGTCCGTTGCTTGTCACTCAAACACCCCAGATTTGGTTCCACAACTCGACTCTTTTTTACAATGAACCAGCCAAGCCAGCAGAGACCTCCACTCGGGGAACACGTGGTCGTAAACGTGGCCGAAAGCCTGCAGATCCCAATACTCGTCCGGGAAGGCGCCGTCGTCGCGTGGAGACGCCACCACCATTGCCACCGCCACCGAACTATCTGGCACATTGCATCAATCCGCTGGAGAATGAGATTTATCCCAAGGTCATTGTCCAGCCGGCTTATCAGCCATGGGTGCTGCCTAAGAACCTAAACGGTGGCGATTCTCCTCCTCCTCCTCCTACTCCGCCAGAACCAAAAGTTGAACCCAAAAAGGAGACAGTACCGGTCAGCGGTGCAGTAACCACAAACACCACCCAAACCAAGCCCGCGATCAGTATGGCTCAGTTGCGCCAGAAACTGCAACTCTTTGGACCAAATGTCACCATCTTCCAGTTCAATGGCAAGGGAACGGCCCGGTTTAAGGCCATTCTAAAGGAGAACAATGGTAATCATCGCCAGTTGGTATTCAGTGCCGATCAGTTGCTCTCTTTTGGTGGCACTTTTGGGCCAATGCCGATGAAGGCTCCCATAACGATGCCAAAACCAACACCGGCCATGGTCTCACATTATTTCCCAGGACCTGGTGGTCAAATTTTGGCCAATAAAATGTTACACCCTACTCGGCCTGTAGTCAAGAATTCGGCTGTGATTATGGGGCCACCCCTTGCAAGACCTCCAAGGGCTGTCAACGCTAAGCGTGAGAATTCAACTTATCTTTATACTGGACCACCAAAGGTATCTAATCCTGTGCGAGGAGTAGCACCATCGGGAGTATCTAATCCTGTGCGAGGTGTAGCACCATCGGGAGTATCTAATCCTGTTCAAGGGGGAACATCGCGTGTATCAAGTACCTTTCAAGGAGGGGCTCCAGCAGTATGTAATCCTGTTCAAGGAGGGGCTTCAGCAGTATGTAATCCTGTTCAAGGAGGTGCTCTATCAGGAGTATCTAATCACATTCCAGGAGTAGCACCAGACGGAGCAGGAGTATCATCTAATCCCGTTCAAGGAGTAGCACCATCAGGAGTTTCTAATCCCATTCAAGGAGTAGCAGCAGCAACACCAACAGCAGCTCCTGCTCCTACTCCAGAAGCTCAAAAACCTAAAGAAGAACCCATTCCGGAACCAGATTTTTCGCAACACAGAATCGCTTTGCCCGCGATCCTCAAGCGACAGTCCCAGATGAAGTTGCTCAAGATGTTGCAGGCCAAGAGGGCCAAAAAAGCAGCCGAAGAGGCTGAGTTGGCCAAGCAGGCTCAGGAAGCCAAGGAAAATGAAAAGAAAGCGGCTTAGATGAAGGAGAATTTCGGGAATTCAAATCAAAAGCTAAGAAAAGCCCAAAAGAAAACTTCAAAATGCAAATACGAAAATTGGAAAATTCTTCAAGTAAAATTGATTTAAAAACTAAAAACTGATAAAGCTGATAAATTACACGTATTAATGTATGATGTTTCCCACATTCCAATAAACAAATATCAAAATTAAAAAACAGGAACAGAGAGAGAGAGAGAGAGGTGGGAGCACTGGCTAATTGGCTTTGATAAGGCCAAAAGACCAAACGGTTTCGGTTTTTGTGGTCTAGTGTAATCTTTTTTGTCACTAATTGCAGAGCGATGTCAAAATGCTTGATGATTAACTCCGATAATTGCAGCCGCTCACTCAATCGTTTCGATAAAACCAATTCAAATAAAAATAAAAACACAAATTAAATCCGGAAATGTCATTCTGGCATTTTAGTTAATTTTTTGATAGCTTAAAAAAATATTACATAAGGAACTTCTTAGCTTAGTCGTACATTAAACATTAACAAAAAAAAAAGGTTTATAAATTAACAGCTTAACTTGTTCTTCAGGGCAAGCAGGCAAGGAGTTGATGGTTCTTGGACCTACATTAACTATTTCCCGACTTGCGAGGAAAACTAACATCAAGTCGGAATAGTTGGGTCCACAGCTGAATAGGAAAATCACTAGGTTCCTGTTGCAGGAACTGCCTTCCAGGATTCACACACACTCAACTCCAAACTAACTCCTTCATCCACTACTTGTGTTATATCCTCCATCTACTCCTTGGCCAATTGCAGAGCCTTTGCCTTGGGCATGGCCACCGGCAGTGAGCGATCCACATAGGCGAAATTGTCCACAACACTGGAGGCCAGAACGCCACCCATTACCACCAAGGCTCCGACGATGCCAACTTTCGACCACATGCTGTTAATGAGAGTGGATCACTACTTGGGTTTAGGGGGGTTTGGGTTGGTATGGAAAATGCGAATGCGAATGCGAACGCGAGAAGAGCTATTTGCAGTATGCGCGGGACGCACGCCCTGCATGGTGCCTTATATACAGACTATACAGGCAATCGCATACTCCCAGAACTTAAAAAAAAAACAAAAAAAACCAGAACCCGCGGGAAGCTTTGCCTGCTTTGGATGTCCGATGTGCCAGCGGTCACGTCGACCAAACCGAACCGCCTCTCCAGGTTCCATGGAAAGCAGAAAAGCTCCCAGAAAAATGCACTTCCTTTGCTGCCGCCACTCGCCTCTATTATCGACTCATTAGATAAGCGCGATTCGCACTTCGATGGCGAAAAGCTCTAGCATATATGGCAGGTGCACTGGGAGAAAATTGTGTATATATAGTAAAGTGTTTTAGCTTTAAAGGGTTATCAATGAAAAGTCAAGATTATATATCCTTCTTTGATAAGAAAAACTTAAGGGTAAGGTCTAAGGTCTTTCTTTTAAGGCTGAAAAATGTTAGGCACAGTCTAGTCACAAGTTAAACTTCTATAAGCTCTTTTAAAAATATTTAAAAAATCTATAAAATATATACACACTTAGATATAAGTAGCCTTAATGTTAAATTATAATAATATTTAGTTTTAGTTTAATATTTGTTATAAATTTTAATAATTTAAAAAGACTTTCTGAGATTCTCAAATTAATCCTCAAAAAAGAAATATTTTTAAAAATACATAAAAAATATTTGAAAAATCTATAAAATATATATACACTTAGATATAAGTAGCCTTAATGTTAAATAATAATAATATTAGGTTACAGTTTAATATTCGTAATATAGTTTAATAATTTAAAAAGACTTTCTGAGCTTCTCAATCCAATCCCTAAAATTCAGACTTAAACTCTCAACTCTTAACCCACTTCTTTCTCCTTGTGTAATGTATAAACACATATCTGGGCAAATCTGATATTTCTATATATATATATATATATTTTTGCAATGTTTTTATTTGTTTACTCGCCGTCTCTGTTTATTAGCCATGTTTATCAAGAACGCCTAATCTGGGAACTGGGTGCGTCACTATCTAAACAATTTGCGACTAAACACGAATACATTTGTGGGCAAACATTTGATCGCCACACTTGGCTCCGATTTCCCTTTCATGTTTGCATTTCAATTTACAACTAGCTGGGTCTACTTTGTTTTTAATTTTATTTTTGCAATATTTTTGCTAGTAATATTTGTAAATAAACAAAGCAAATTAAGATTAAATGCGACGAAATTCTATTAATTTTAAAGCTTTTTTGGAAGATTTATGATCTCTCATATTGATTTTTTACGACTAGACTTTCCTCAATAAAATTGCCATGCAAATACTAACAAAGCAATTGAAAACTAACTAGTGGAAGGGTGAGATCATTTTTAGTTAGTTTTGGGCTGCTGGAATTTGTCACTAATTTATCATAGTTTTGTGATTTTAATGCTTAGGAAAACTGTAACTTAGTAATGCGTTTCAGTCATTAGGCTAATGGGTTTGTTTTTTATCTAAAGAAAGCTTTTTGTATCTTTAACTTGATGACTCTATGACTTTGTGAATAATTTAAGATAGATGTGTATATTTTTTTAAATATTTTTTTTAGCTCTGAAATAAGTTTTATAAATAGAAATATTCAAGTAGTAAGTTTGGTTTAAAAAAGAGGAAGTTTTTTCTGTCTTTTCAAAAGGCATGATAGGAAAAGGTCAAGTTTGGTTATAAAAATTATAAAAATAATTACAGTTTTGTGAAAGTAAGTTTAATATTAATATATAATTTATTTTTTAAGACTTATTTACAAGATATTTTCTTTAAAAAATATTATTTAATATATCAAATGAAAGAAAGTTAAAGTTAGAAGTTAAAGGCCTTCCAAGTTTCGTTCCAAGTTTAATTTTCAAACACAACTCCTAACATTCGCCTTCAAGACACTTGTTACTCAAGTAAAACTCTCTAAAATCTATAAATATATATATAAACTTATAGTATGTAGAGTATATATACTAGCTAATTGATAGACTGATAACATGATAGCTCAAGCCCAGCGATTCGCAATAATTCCCTTGATTGAATGCGCTAATTTCTCTCTTTCGGTCTCGTTTTTTGGCCATCTTTAAGCGAAATGTCTGCAATATTTTTGGCCCAAAAGCGGGTAAGCATGAATGGAGGGGGGGGTGGAAAATAGAAAGTGGAGTTCCAACGCTTTTAATCGCTCCAACAACAACAACAACAACTAATAAACTATGTTTAAATATAGCCACGCAGATAACAACAACAAATTGCCAGTGGAAACTCCTCACTTGCCCCGCTCCGACCGTTTGCCATTTACGCGCAAAATTAATCGAAGCCCATAAAGCAGCGTAAACAAAGACAAACCCATGGATCGGTTGTATGTATAGGAATATATATAGTAGATATATATATATGGGTAGTTATAGTGGGCGGCTGACATCGTCGCATGCAGATAAACAGACATTAATAATAGAAATATTTGGCCCTACGAGAGCACAATTTGCAGGCGGCAGGGGGTAGAGGGTGGAGGGCGGAAGGCGTGGCTCTGGCAAACAGATTGCCAACATTAGTATTCCAGCAGCTCGTTGGACCCGCTACCTAGGCACTGAGAGAAAGTTAGATGGGAATTGAAAGTGAAAATTAAATATTAAAATATTATTTTATGTCTTTTCATTAGTAAAAAATATTTATCAATTTATAAAAGATTGCCAATATGCACTGAGAAAAATATATTTTATTTGATCTCCTGCATATAAAACTATATCCTAGGATTTTCTATATAATTTTTAACTTTAACTTACAAGTAGAAAGGCATTTTCCTTGCTCTAAATTCAAGTTTTAAGCTTGAAATTGTACTTAAAACTTGTTGTCCAGTGTAAATGTGTTAGAATTCGGTGCTGCTTGGTACTAGTACCTTGTTTTAGTGTGGTGCACATGTGCTTTGTAGCGGGATCTGTTGAGTGGAAACCCACCGCCGTTGTCCTGGCAACACCAACAGCGTGTGCATCCAAAAGGGGCTTAGTTGTTAACGAAGGCAGCCAGAATGGCGGCAATTTTCCGAGGGGAAAATGAAATAAACATGATGCCATTACTTCTATATAATATTTCTTCTTACTTTCACTAATTAACAACAAGATTTACTTTGCCCTCAAAAGAATTTAAAAGAAATTTTTAAGTCAGGAAACAAGTTTTTTGCTTTTTTTTAACATTTTGCATTATAAGTTGATTAGATTGCGATTACTTATAGTCAAGGTCAGTGAGTTCTGAAGTTGTTCTTATCAAAAGTTGCACTAAATTCTCAAGTTTTTACTTAACTTAAGCTATATTATCTAGGCTAAGTCTGTGTTAAATTTTATGGAACTTTTTATGAGAGAAAATATTTCCCTAATAAACTTTTACTTTCTCTACAAGTTAATAACTTGTTTAAAGTGAGTTTATCTCAGTTGCCTTAGACAGCTCTTAAACTGCTTAAGTTTGTATAGGAGAGGAGGGAAAAGGGTAAGAGAGGAAATTCCTTAACCCATCATTGCCCCCCCATCGAATGATTGGCGACAAGTCTGTTGCCAGCAGCGAGCTCAATCGACTTCCGGTTGTGCCAATTTTTGGTCTAAGCCAAGACATTTGCGCTGCTTTTCCCAGAGACCAAGACCAAAAACCTAAACCACTGCAGCACCACCCACTTTAGCAACATTTTCGTTTCACCCACACTGACTCGAAGTATTTGCCTGGCGCGCTTCGTTTGTTCGCTTGCATTTCCTTCCGGCTGGCCCTCATATGCCGACAGTCGGTCGGAAAAGTCTTGGTGGAAAATGGGTTCATAGGGTTCTAGGCAAAAACCTCAAGTAAACAGCAGGCAGCAGGCTAAACCATAGCCTAACCCAACAACATGCTATATTTCCCCTCGCCCTTCTCCTAGCCACTCAACCAACACCATTTTCTTTTCCACAAATTGAATTCTCGCGCGCGCATTTTCATTTGCCATACTCTGTGTGTGTGTGTGTGTGTTTGTGTGTGTGTATTTGTTTGTTAATTTTCGCACAGGAAAATTGCATCAGCTGAGGGGTTTCCACAGCACAGGTTTTCCTTTTTTTTTTTTGCTTTCTTTATTTCTTTTTTTTTTTTTTTTTTAGTTTCTGTGCCAGCCGCAACAGGAGAAATGCGCGGCAACTTTCCACGTGTGGCAAATAGCAAAAAGAGAAAGAGACTGCACTGGGCAGGTGGACGGACGGGGGGCGTGTCATGTCAGGGGAAAAGGAAATTGCGGAAAAATCCAGCAGATCGATAGACAATCAACTAATGATTGCGTGCGAAAAGTTGCTTAGCTCTCTCTCGGAAGGGTTTTTAGTTGATAATACTTTATTTATGGGTAATGTCAATAGACTTTCCTAGTGATATGAACTTAAAAGAGAGCTAGATTTAGCTCTTACTAAAGATTTTCCATATCTATCCCCTTTCTTAGATCGAAAAGGCATATACTTAGCTCTTTTCTGATAGATAAGACTTCCAAGCTTAAGGTGTAAGCTTAACTTAAGCTATCTTTTATATCAAACTTAGCAGATTTATGATCATAAAATAACTTAAGCTTGGTTTGAATTACCTTCAATGATTATTTCTTTAACCATAAACCCACCAGATCAATGACTCCACCATTGACTGTGGTCAGTAACAGATAATCCGCCCCCATCTTTCACTACTTCCACACTCTCCTGTCACTGATAATCTCAATTCTTATCAATAAAAACCCATAGAAACCCCCATGAAGGGTTCATGGCAAATCGCTGGACTTTCGCTTGGGTGTTGCATTTTAATTTATGAGCAAATTTTGCCTGTCTAATGCACTGCGACCTGCTTTGTCGGTGGTTGTACTTATATATATATGAGTATATGTATATATATATATGTGTGTGTGTGTTTGGGTAACTGTGTGTATGCTTGTGTGTGTGCACAATTAAATTTTCAATGTAATTTCACGCACAAATGCCTCCAATTGCCGGGCGGATGATGTTGCAATGTGTAACCCCTTCTGTAACACATCTCCTATAGGGCCCTAATTTAGTCCTATCACAGGTCCTCTGTCCACCTCGGTACAGTTGGGGGTAAAGCTTAAGCAGCCTTTCTTGGGTTAAATAATATAGTTAGTTATTGGATTAATAGAAAATATTAGAATAACAATGAGAAGTGGTTTTCTTATTGAAATGACTATGAAATAGGCGATTTCGAAGTTCATTTTTAATCTAAAAAATATTCTAAAAGCTTAAAAAAATAGAAGAAATCATATTATAGGTGGAACTTCCCCAATTTGCTTGCATTTATATTCATATTTACTAATAATAATTGTTATTATTCTGATAATTCCGTAATAAAACATGATCTTTAGGATTTCTTTATATCTTTAAGTTCTGTTTTAGACTTCATATGAATTTTCTTTGTAACCTCAACTTTTGAACAATATTTTAAGCTTATAAAAAGAAAGCTGTAAGCTGTAAAAGAAATATAGTTCAGTTTTTATAGAATTTTCTATGCCTAACCATAGGTTTCTCTTAAAGGAAATGCCAAAGTTATAACTTCTAAAGCTCAAAGTTTAATTTCTAAGATTCTAAGTTTTATACCATCTAAAAATATAAAAGATAATATCAACCAGTTGTTACTATTAATCTCACCGCCATAGTACAAACCCATGAAGCGGCATAATCATCATAATCGCGTTGACACTCCAAGCGAACGCCTGAGAGTGCAAAAGAGATGGCCAAGTAGGTAAAGGAAAGAGATGCCAAATGCCTGGCAAAACGCATCGAGTGCAAAAAACACTTTATAAGCCCCCCCACTCTTTCTCTCTCTATCCCCTTCCCTCTCTTACTTTCTTTTTGTCAGAGCTGCCGTGGCGGGGCGATTAACGATTGCTTATCAATTAACACAGTTGGCCAGCTATCAAAGTGGATGCCTCAAAGGCCTCGTCGATAAGGCGAAATAAGTCGACCGAACTTTGCCAAGCGGCTTAAGGCGGGCCGGCGGTTTGTAAGCCATATGGGGGTGTCACCTTCACAGCGCAGTAATCATGGCTTAATGGACGGTTATAATGATACCGTTACAGATATGAGTATATATACCTATATATATATATGTTACGTTGCAGTTACTTGGGCGGAATAAGCGGTAGGTTAAATAAAGTGAAGCAAGTGATGGTTATGGTTGCTGTTGGTTTTTTGAAGTGAAAATAATTATTAACTGAAAGAGAGAAGCAATCTATGAGGGGGAAAAGGCAGGACTTATATTCAAATTGACTAGTAAACTGGGTAGTAAGCTGTCGAAAAGTATGCAATACTTTCAGACAGCTCTTCAGTGACTCTCAAACCTCTTTAATTTTTGATAAGCACTTAACTTTTTAAACATATTTTCGACTATCGCAGAAACTAAATACATTTCCCTACACAAGCCCACGGCCTTTGTATTTTAAAACCACCCACTGCTTATAGCACACCCTTAACCACCCACCCACTACACCCTCTCCCCCCCCCTCCTACCACCCCCTTTATGTGCTATGAACTGAACGCGTTGTAATGTGCGTTAATAAATTTGATTTTAGATTCTCTCTCGAGCCATCAACTTTAAAGTGTCGTTCAGCCAGCCACTCAGCCCACTCAGAACTCATGTCCCCCCCCCCCTGGAAAAAACACACCACCCGCCGCCACTCCAGGATCTCGTTTTTATCAGTTTAATGGGCGGGTCGTAATGCAATTTGTGCCACACCACCCCGTCTGCCACTCTTTGCCTGTGCTGGTGCTACTGCCTGCGCCTGTGTAAAGCAATTTTGATAAATTTATGTGGAATACGCTTTCATGATAAGCTAATTAAATTCAATCGCTGTAACCAACTTGCCCAAAAACCGAAATGCCACACCCCTCCTTTAGCTCTGCCCTCTGATTTTGGTTTCGTTTAAAGCTCAGCGATTGTTTCCATATCGCTGGGTAAACTAAAGTGGCAAAATTAGCGACAAGCGAATGATTTTTGCAACTGAAGAGTAAAAAGGAAAACCAAAAGGAAATCAAAAGGAAATGTATGAAAGGTTGTGGAAGGTGGATAAGGGGAGCATATGGAAAACTGGAAAATTTTCATAACAAACAGATTTTTGCTATAAAGATCATATTTTCATAGATTTAACTTTTTGGTAATTCACTAAACCAACCTCTTCGTTAATTGTATTATAAATTCCATGGGCCATCAAAAATGCATGTTTAAAATCAGTTTAAAGCACTTCCAATTAGCGTTTGCTAACTAAACCAAACCCAGTGTCCCTGTCACGATATGTAATGGAATGCAACATGATTGCACAGATACTATATATATATATAGATATATATATAGTCCTCGTACTGCTTATACATACCAGGCAGCAGGCAAAAATCCATTGACGATTTGGACAAACATTGTGTAAATTTTGTGGAAAAACATGCGCCATTAACATAATTATAATTAGGCTCGACAAGCGAATTAAATTCAATTTTCATTATTTTTAATGAAGAATGCAGCAAGAGGGGGGGATGTAGGAGGAAAAAACAGAGCGAAAATGGCAGCGTAGTGGGGTGGCGGCATTGGTAGTGGAAAAAACACGACCGCATCAACATATTTATCGCATTTGGCCTGCTCCGTGTCTTGTTGCATATGTTTGGGCGTTCATGCGTGAGCCCGATTTGCATATTAAACGCCGAACACAAGGATAACGATAATAAATCGAACCTAATGGCAGTCGGGGACAGGCATTAACATTGTACAAAAAAAAATAGGTTTCTGTACGGAGTTCTTTAGTTTAGTTGGTAGAAAAGTTTGAAACAAGAAGGAAGTTTAAAGTCAAAACGGCTTAAAAATTGCAGAAATTAACTAGAAAGATTATCAATATTTCTTAGATATAGATTTATATAGGGTTAAAAGTTTTCATTCTGCTTTCAAATCAAGTAATTGAAGGTAAAAAGTTAAGTTCTAGGAGGTTCATAGCCTGAATTCTTATTAAAAATCCCTTAAATTATTTGCTTAATCACAAAAATCATTCCCCCCTAAAACCCAAATCAAATTTTCCATAGATTTTCATACATTTTCCCATATATATCTCCCAGCAAAAATCAGTTAACAACTTGCCTTTGCTTGCAACTTGCAAACGTATCGTCGCTGGCAAATATGCCGATCATCTCATCAATATTTGCCGGGCACTTCATCAGTGGGTAAAGTAAAACTTACATCAGCAAGGCCAGAAATCTACTAAATGTGGTAACATTTAAAGTCTAGTGAAAATATTTAGAGTCATTACAGAATTTGATACGCTTGGAGCTGAGAAAAATCATAAAGACAAATATATGCTTTATGCTAACGAGTACAATGCCAGCCAAAGCAGTTAACACTGAAAAACGTTGGCTAGAAAGTTGGCAAAGACTTATCAAATCTATCTCTCACATGCGAGAGAAACCCTATACCATTAAAAAAAACCACTATCTGTCTGCGATTTTTGGGGCTTAATTAAGCAGATGTGCATAACGCAATAGTAAGTGGCTGCTGCTGCTGCTGCTGTTTTGTTTTTGATTTGATATTTTGGTGGTTTTTGGTGTTGCCTTCTTTCACTCTGACCCACACCAAAGATTTGCATAATTCGGCCATCTAAAGTGTCTTGCCAATTTGGTGCACGAAACTGAGTTCAGTGCGAAAAAAAAGAGATTCGCAAATCTCAAATCGCGAATAGCTGAAAAAAACCGGTCGGTAGGCAAAATCATAACACCAGGCAGCACAAGCACACCTGTTGAGGTGTTTTCCGCCCAGGGCTAGCCAGCTGTTTTTGGTTAGTCTTAAACAGTGTTGGCAAGCTGTTTTCTTTTGGGTCAGAGGTTTATTGATTTTTAAGGGATTTTTTAAAGATTTTTGAAAGATATTTTAAAGATTTTTTAAAGTTATTCTAAAGATTTTTTTAAAATATATTTCAAAGATATTTTAAAGAATATCTAAATATATTTTAATGATTTTTTAATGATTTATTAAAGATTTTTAAAAGATATTTTAAAGATATTTTAATGATTTTTTTTTTAAGATTTTTAAAGTTATTTTAATGATATTTTAAATATTTTTTAAAGATATTTAAAGATTTAAAGATTTTTAAAAGATATTTTAAAGATATTTTAAAGAAATCTTAAAGATATTTTAAAGATTTTTTAAAGATTTTTTGAAAGATTTTTAAAGATATTTTAATGATATTTTAAAGATACTTTGTATATATATTATATTATAGTTTATCACAAAAATCTATAATTAAGATAAGGAAAAGTATATAAATCTTTCTAGATCCACTTTATAGATTTCAAAAACCCGAAAAAGCTATTCCCAGACCCCTTCACTCTTAGCTTAAAATCAGCTTTTCATAGCTCAATTTTCCATTTACTTCCACCGCTGATCTTGAGAATCCCCAATAGCAGTGTCAACCTTTTAGGAAATACTTGATTAATTGGCTTGGCTGATTAAGACTGTTTGGAAAAATCCGTTGCATTAGTAATAACTTCGAAAGGTCAGTGAATGTCACGAATATTTGGAATGGGAAGTGGACGATGGGGGCGAGCATTTCTCTTTGGTTTGACCCAAATTTTTACCATATATATAGCAGCCGGAGGGCAAAGCATTATCATCAGTTTACGAGCTCAGCTCCCCAATCCCACTTCGTTCATCGTCAAGTGCCAGTTTAACCCAAGTGGAACCGACAACAACATGAAGGTAAGTTTATATTGACAAACTAAATCATAAGATCGGAATATATATATATAGAGACTAATCCTTGAAATTTACTTCTAGGTTTTCATCTGCCTGATTGCCTGCTTCAGCCTGGCCCAGTCCGGATTCATTGGAGGTGGTGGCAGCAGTGGCTGGTCTTCTGGAGGTGGCAGCAGTGGCTGGTCTTCGGGAGGTGGCTGGTCCTCTGGAGGTGGTGCTGCTCCTACTATCGTCAAGGTTATCAGCGAGGAGGCTGGTCATGGCGGTGGCGGATGGGCCGGTGGCTACTCCGGCGGTCATGGCCATGCTGCCGAAGAGCTGAAGATCATCAAGGTGATCAGTGAAGGCGGTCACTCCCATGGCGGTTACTCTCACGGGCATGATCATGGACACAGCCATGGTTCTGAGGTTAAGATCATCAAAGTCATTCAGGAAGAGGCTGCTCATGATCATGGTCATGGATATGACTACTCCAGCGGTGGCCATGGACACCACACCGAGGATGTGAAGATCATCAAGCTGATTAGCTCGGGCATCGCTGAGGGCGGCAGCTCTGGTGGTTGGTCTTCGGGCGGATCTGGCGGTGGTTGGTCGTCGGGCGGTGGCTGGTCTTCCAATGGATGGAACTAAGTGATCCAGCTTCAGATCCCAAGGCGAAACCAGGTGAATCCAATGCGTTGATGTCAACTCTTTTTGTTCCTGTTGTCGGAGTTGAGCGGCGATATTGGCCCTTCTGATGCTACGAAGTTTTAGTTTTAGTTTAAGTTAGTGCACGCTTTTTGTGTGTGCGCTTATAAGTTATTAACTCGTTTTTTTTTTCCTGTTAATTGTTTATAAAAAAAAATACATGATCATAGAAGAAGAAGAAACAAAGAAGCTAAGTTGGATTCTGTGGCTAACGATTGGGAAGCCCCAATAAATGATTACTCATGTTCGGGGGATTTTTGTGCCTTCTTTGGCCAGTTTCGCTTTCCACTTAACCCATTTTGCGACACTTTTTCTTTTCGGCCATTTGAATTCACTCGAAGGCTTGGCAATTATATAAAATATTTAAAACCAGTTTGTCATTTAATTTATAACGTAACTTTGTCCATAGAAGTGGCTTATAAAATTACTTGGCAGTTTTTTTTTTGAAAATAAAAACAAATTGAATGACAAATTTGTGACAATGAAAAATGCTTAATTTGCATTTACTTGATTAAATTTTATATGATTTTTGAAAACTTTCTAATTTATTTAATGGAATTTTCCATTTCAAGCAAAGAGAACTATCAATACCCAAAGTTCAAAATGGGTTAAGAAGCTCAAGGTCAGATCGTGCCAGACGAGAGATCATCATCATCGTAGGAAAGGGAACGAAACCATTACCAAGTGGTAATTATGTCCATTCTGGCCAAGTTAAGTAATTCCCCAGAGCCACCAAAAAGCCATAATTGCGGATGCGTCTCGATTTTGTTTTCGAATTTCCATCATTATATTATCATTTTTTTCATAGTGTATTTGATGATGCCGTAACTAGTTTTCTGTATGGCTTGTCGAGTGTTAAACTCAAACCGAAAACCGATTTAAATCTTGAATCTTTCTTACCCGCTCTTTGTTTTTATTTACAGATTCGTGAGCTGCGGCTTTTTACATACATATTTTATGGCTTAATTAATGGTTATACCGATGATAGGGTGTCTAATTAAGATTGTATATATTTCGATCTGCCTGCGATTTACCATTCGGCCGACTTAAACATTTCTCAAATGTCAAAGATAAGTGTCTTTAATGATGGCTACCGATTTGGTTACATAAATTTGGTTGGTTTTTTTAGCCAACGCATGTTATGTGTTATTTAATTTGTTATTTATTTAAAGAAGTTTATGCTTAAAAGCTGTAAATTTAATTTAAAATAAATTTCTATTAGATCACATAAAACTGATTTAATGGCCTTAACTTCATAAATCATAACAAAAATGGTTGAGAGCCAAAAAAAGAAATTGTTCATCAAAAATAAATCACTTCCGTTTGTCTTAACTAAAAAACATTATTGGTAATTGTTTTTAATAAAAAATAACATTAAATGTTTATAATTTTTGCAAATGTTTTCATTTAAGATAGGAAATCTAGTTAGGAAAATTGCCAAATTAAAACATGAAAAATGTAACAAACGTGAATATCTTTCTTAGCCATCTTTAACATGAAATATTTGAAATTTGCTTCTCGATTTTACTAAATTATCTTTTCACATTAGTTAGCCTTTCAAAATATTCTTTAGATTGTTTTTCCTTGATAAACCGATCAACAAATTTGTACATTATTGTATTTCGTGATGCCGTGGGTCATTCAAGTCGAACATAAAATCACCGACAATCAGCGGGAAATGTATGGCTCATCTATCAGATCGAGAAGTGAAGGTTGGCCTATGCCTTTGGTTTTTTGGCCGAATGGAGGAATCGAGTTGGTGGAACTGACAATTAATAAGCATTCTGTTTGACCCATCGCCACTGCGGGCCAAGAGTTAATGGTGCCCCGATTGCGTTGGCCGGAATCAATCAAGATCGACATTTTGTTGGGTACAGAGATGGCCAAGTTGGTCTAATGAAGGGTACAATAAAAAGTTATAGGAAAATAGTAAAAGGCTGGAAAAGTCTTGCTTAAAGTAGAGAAACTTAACTTTACTTAAAACTCAAAACAAAATATAAATTTAAAGCAAAAAAACCAACACAAAAACTTAGCTTTTTCTTTGATAACTGATAATTATTTTTGAAGATTAATCCAAGTTAGTACCTTAACTATTATAAGAGCCAGGGTACAGTACCTCTAAAAACTATACCACCCATCTCTATCCAATGGTGCGATCGCTACCTGTTTATTGGATCATGCTGCGGGCAGCTATTGTTTATTATTTTTGCAACTTTGTGTCGATGAATTGGATGAATTGCATAACGAGGGGGAAAATGCTCTATCAAATGGTCGCCACTTGGCCAGCAAGTGCAGTATCTCGGTCTAAGGGAAGGGTTTCCGATGCAAGTTAGCCAGCTTGACAGCTCCAACTTTTGCCTGGATTACAACATAGTTTTCAGTTTTAGTTTTAGTTTAAGTTTTGAGGCATAAATTAGTGTGGCAGCCGCGGGTGGGAGATCGGTATTGGGGTTGTACTATAAGAGGCTATAGGGATGGGGTGGGGTCAGGGCCATTGCCCTCATGCAGACAGATGGACATCGCGGTGGTGATGGTAATGGTAATGGTAATGATGATGCCGCAACACAAAACGGACCATCGCGTGGACCGGCAATTAGTGTGTCATATACGACCAGACAACGACAACTCCACACAGTGAAATGATTTTTAAATATATTAGGGAAAATTGTAAGGGGTTTATGTAAGAGAAAAACCTGTATCAAAAATGTATATCAAGTCCCTAAGCTAGTGAGTTATTGAATTGTTAAAATGAGATGGGAAAGTGTAGGCGATATGGTTAAGGAAAAGTTAACATAACTTTTGATTTGAAAATTTGATGGTTTTCTACATTAGTTTATATATAATTTGTAGATTTTTCTTTATTTTTAATATTTTTAATCTATTTTCATTAGCATTTAAGTATTATTATATATTAGAGAGTCTCCCATCATCACTTACTTACCTGCCTCATCTGGTTTTTCATCTTTCACAGAGTAACTCCAACCTAGCCCACTGTTCGCCGCAGCCGTTTGGGGCAGGGCAGGGCTAAGTGAGCCAAGCTGGTTACCGAGCATCCGAAACGCTGGCCATAAAAGCAGCGGCCAAAACGTTGTAGACCACAGTCGAAGATCGCCCTTCCAACCCGACACAGTCGCAGTTCTTTCAAGCAATCAATCTACAAAAACACCTCAACATGAAGGTGCGCCAAGTTTTCGCGGATTAACACTTTCCTAGAAAGTGAAAATTATTGTTTTTGTTTTTTTTGAGTGCCTTTTTTTTGTGATTTTAACTAACGCGTTTCCTGCCGATCTCTTGCAGGTTTTCGTCTGCTTGCTGGCGGTTTGCAGTATGGCCCATGCGGGATTCCTGGGCGGCGGCGGAGGTAGTGCCGTTAGCTCTGGCTGGTCCTCGGGCGGCGGCGGAGGATATAGCGGGGGCTACAGCGGTGGTCATGGTGGAAGCGGTGGCTATAGCGGCGGTGGTGGTGGTTATGGCGGCGGTGGCCATGGAGGAGGCGGTGGCTATGGAGGCGGCAGCACCGTTAAGATCATTAAAGTGATCACCGATTCTGGAGCTGGCGGTGGCTATGGAGGTGGCTACAGTGGAGGCCATGGCGGTGGCTACGGAGGTGGCTATGGAGGTGGTTCCGCTGGTGGTTATAGCGGAGGCCATGGCAGCGGCTGGTCCTCGGGAGGTGGCTACAGCGGCGGCGGTGGCTATGGAGGCGGTGGTGGCTATGGAAGCGGTGGCAACATCAAGATCATCAAGGTTATCTCCGACTCTGGTGCCAGCGGTGGCGGCGGTGGCGGCTATGGCGGTGGCTACGGCGGTGGCTACAGCGGTGGTCATGGTGGTGCCTCTAGCTACTCCTCCGGCGGTTGGGCTCCTCAGGGCGGTTGGGCCCAGAGCAGTTGGTAAACGCTCTCTGCTGGCCAACAGATGCTATTTTGTTACTGTTTGTTACTGACCCCAACTGTAAATACTTCCCAGCATTAATGAATAAAAAACAGAGCGATGTAGTCGAGCCATTCCAATATTAAAAACTTAAACGAACGTAACTTTTTCTTTGATTTTTAGTATTTTTAGTGTGAAAGTTTGCAAAAAGTCATCATGAAAATCAAGAAATAGATATTTAAGAGTAAAATTTTATAATGTTTTTGTTAAGAAATATGTAACAGAAACCTATAACAATGTAATCTTGAATAAGATCAATAAGCAAGTCGATGTATCCGTATGTATGTCTGTACGAATGTTCGTACTTATACCCGTCCATATTTCTGTCCATATGTCCGTATGTATGTCCGTACGTATGCCTGTTCATATGTCCGTATGTATGTCCGTCCATATGTCTGTACGTATACTCATCCATATATCCGTACGTATGTTCCTTCCATATGTCCGCATGTATGTCCGTCCATATGTCCATACGTATACCCGTCCATATGTCCGTTCACATATCTGTATGTATGCCCGATCGTATGTCCGTCCGTATATCCTTATAATCGCAAAGATTTTAAGAACTATAAAAGCTACAAAGTTGGAACTAACCATTAAGACTCTAAAAATGCTTTATTTTAAATTTAAGAACTAGTTGTATAACCAAAAGTTTGTATCCTACAGTTACTTAAAACCTTAAAGCTGCATCTTAAAATTTAACATTAATACTTATTAACTATTTTATAGCTGCTGCTGCTGCTGCTGCTGCATCGTTTACAACCAGCTTAAGTTTATTGCATGAATCTTTGAATGGAATGCACTGTAAATTTACAAAAAATTAGAAGAGGTCTGGTAAAAGAAGCCTCTCTGAAAACTAGAAGACTACGAGTCCAATAAAATCCATTAGAAATCTAATCCGGCGACAGCAGACGTCGTATATCATCCTGCACGGCTGCCTCGGCATAGCTCTGACCATCAGGAGAACGTTCCATGGGACTGGCATCCATTTGGAGTAGAAACTCAACTCATCGTGTGTGACCCTCCCAGATGGCCGCCAGAAGGAGTAATACCATACTTGTCCTTGCGATTCACCTCTGCTCCAAGACGGACAAAGAACTGCAACAGCTTCAGTTGGCCTAAGTCGGCGGCATAGTGTAGAGAGAATCTCAAGCCCATCTGATCATTTACATCATGCGATCCGGTCTTAAAAACTTGCTTAACTTCATCGTATATTCACCGTGTTTGATTGTCCAGATGATGTCATCAATGGTACGTCCATCGCCCATTTTGGTTGCCTGTCCTGAGTTCCTTGGTGGTCCTTTTGGTTCAGCAACTCAATCTCTGATAAGTCTTTTAATGTTTTTTCAATGCGGTGTCATTCGTTTTGGTCAAGCTAGCAGAATGAAGTAAGAATGGAAGTCAAAGGGTGTTCCTATTTCGATATTTCTAAACTATAAGCGCTAGCTATATGCCTGCTTTAATAGGCCTTTTTTTTGGTAAACTATTAAATAATATTCTCTATGAAATCTGTCAGAGAAACTTCCCATTGCCGCTGTCATAAAATTGTCCACCATTTTATTTATCGATGGTAGATGGTAACCCACAAAATTTGACAGTTGTCAGGTGCCGCTGCTGTTGTGTTGGCAATGTTTTATTTTATTTTTTTTTTTTGATTTTCTTTCATTTTTGGGGTTTTGGTTTTTTGTGTTGTGTTAACCCTTCGTTAACCCCATACGCATGTCGGGCCATCTGTCCCCGTACTCCTACATGAGAGTACATACATTTGCCCACCCAAAACCAACGGCTTCCTACGCGCCAGACGCAATTTGTATGCAAATTTCCATGAGAATCTCAACACATGCAATAACAACAACAACACAAAGGACACAGGAGCAGCAGCAACAGCAGCAGCAGCAGCAGCAGTAGCAATAGCAGTGGCAGTGGCAACAAAAAATTGACTGAGCGTGAATGCAGAGCGGGGGGTTTTGGCAACCAATTGGTTACAAATACATAATAAGAAATGGACAGAAATAAAAAGCAAACGAGAGGACATGGGGCGGCGAAATTGCCGTTACGAAAGTGAAATGTTAAAAAGTGTCCAACAAGTTGGGATCTTAAGAAAGGGGACTTTAAAGTGCAGGTTAGAAGGCAGGTTAAGAAAGTAAAGGAGTTTTGGTAAAAAAGCTAAGTTATATAAGATATAGAAATTGTTATCAGTACGAAAGGTTTCCGTAAGCTAGAACTCATGAGAAGCGCATAGAAGGGCGCATTTAAACCAGCAGTTAGCTGGTAGGGAAGTAGTCCATAGGAAGCGGATTGCGTTAGCAGAAGATACAAAAGAGAAAAGGAAACCAATTTAAAGAAAATGTCACTAGTTAAAAATTATTGAGAAGCGCATAGAAAGGCGTAATTTAACCACCACTTAGCTGTTAGCAAGGTACATAAGTTCATATAAAGTAGATTGAGTGTTAGCAAAAGATACATTAGAAATAGGGAAACCAATTTAAAGAAAGAATTACTAGAAATATATTATTGAGAAGCGCATAGAAAGTCTTACGTTAACCGCCAGTTAGCTGATAGCCCAGTAAAGAAGTTTAAATAAAAGAAGAAAAATCTTAAAATATCTACATAATAAATGTAAATAATTAATAAGACAAAATCAACAGCTAAAACCATTGAGAATCCCCAAGAAGGGCCCATTTTAACCACCGGTTAGCTGTTATTTAAGTTAATAAGGTCATAGAAAGGAGTTTATGTTAGAAAAATATACAAAAACGAAAGGGATGGTAATTCAAAGTAAAAATCTCTAGTTGAATATTATTGAGAAGTGCATAGAAGGGCGTTTGTTAACCGCCAGTTAGCTGATAGCCCAGTAAAGAAGTTTAAATAAAAGAAGAAAAATCATAAAATATCTACATAATAAATGTAAATAATTAATAAGACAAAATCAACAGCTAAAAAACCATTGAGAATCTCCAAGAAGGGCCCATTTTAACCACCGGTTAGCTGCTAGTCTGCTTAATTTTGGGCGTGGCTGGCAGCAAGTACACACTCGAAGGCTCACTATAATAATAGTCAAGTAGCGGGTGCCGGAAATAAAAATAAAAATAAAATTAACTTCAATTGTTCTGCTGCTCGCACTTAGATAGTGCGGTATTCGAAAGTTGGAATGTGGTTCCAGAGCGGAGGGGGGTGGGTGGTTGGTTGGTTTTTTTAGGGTGGCTCGGGTGGCTCTATACAGAAGCCACTTTCTATGCAAATTTTTATGTGTTAAATGCATTTTGTTGGATTTAACATTCTCGCTGATTTTTTGGTTTACATTTTTGCATATAAATGAGGGCAAACTTTGCTACGTTCGGGCTCAAGGAAGGCCATAGAAAAAGGGGCGTGGCATAGATATATATATATATTTATATATATATATATATATATACAGACACACAAATTAGAGGATTAAGTAGCTTGAGTCCTGCTGTTCCTTCTGCCTTCCACTTTCTCCTTTCTCCTTGACTCTTTTGTCTCAGAAGAAGCCGGAGCAGAAGCCGAAGCCGAAGCAACAGCAGCGGCGAGACAATTACGCTAATTCGCCTGAAATTGTTTTGCATTTTCTGACAAAAAACCCAAACCAACCAACTAACCACCCAGCACCACCCACTTTTTCTTGGCAATGACAATGACTGCACCACCCGCAGTCGCATATGTGTGGGTGTCATGGTGTGTGGGTGAAAAGCAGAATCTTTTCATCGCTTGTTTAAACAGTTAAATTTGATTGCGCTGTAAATAAGAAAGAGAAAGAGAAAGAGAAAGAGTGAGAGAGAGAGTAAGGGAAAAGACTTTCTGGAACGAAGGAAACTATGGCAGGAAAACCCCTTATTATATCCGCACTGAAGGAAGTTTACTTAATTGTGCAACAATTTTCCCCCCTTTCCCGCAACACCCATAAATCGCAACGTTCTGCTTGGTCTAATTAAAAGATAAGAATACACATCAAGGAATGATAAAATGAGATGATGAAAAGCCCAACAATGGGATTGACAAATAGGCTTTTACTCGGTCATCAAAAGTATACAAAAAGCTTAAAAAATTTAGTTAACTTTATAAAGAAATAATGTTAAGTTATATATTAAATTCAAATTTTATTTACTTTAGAAAGTTTTTGTTACTATTTTTAGTTCCAAAATTTCCAACATCTCCTAAAAAACATCCCTCTTAGTTCCCTCAACAAAACTATAGTAAACCATCTGTTAGGTAAAAATGTTAAAACAGATAAATAAAAACCGAAATGAATGGGAAAATAGGAAAAACAATTCACTCGGCTAGAACAAATTTCCATGAAAATTGTGCACATTCCAGCGCTCAACATAACGTCGGTGGTCGGTGGCCTTTTTCCCACTTTTGACTTTTCCCATAAATAAACATCACAATTATCATAGGTAAACAACAAAATAAATACGCGGAAAACACAGAAGGAAAAACAAAAAACAAGAAAAAAAATAAAAAAGCCAAAAGCAGCAATTCAATTTCCATAGCTTTTCGCGGTCCAACTGTTTACATTTTCAGTTTTATTTTTACTGCTTTTTTTTTTGTTTTTTTGGCTAGCGGGGGATGGGAGGCGAAGTTTTGCCAAGTCGCCAACTTTAAGTTTAATTGTTGCTGCTCTCGCAGTTGATTGCTTAAAATTCATAATGATAATAATAATAGTGCGCTCTTCACTAATTGCACCAGCAACAACGGCACACAAACACTCGAATTGTTCACTTGAGAAGAGTGGAGAAGGAGAGCAGGGGGACGTAGCACTTAAGTCAAAGTGAGAGAAACTTTTCAGCGGCATTCGTCGAATGGGCTAGTAGATAGGAAAATTCACAGGACGAAGAGCGCAGGGCTGGCAGGGATATGCCCATTCACTCATTCATTCATTCGCCCATTCAACCATTTTGCCGCTTGCATTCAGGCAAAATTGTTCCACAAAGATACGAGTAACGAGTGCCGGGAAGGGAGTCAACTCGATGGAACGTGGGCTAGGATATCCAAGCTGGTTCAATGCACTGCAAGAAATTAAAAGAGTAAGTGAGATTTTGAAAATGAATGCTCAAAGTAAGCGAGGTTCTTGTTAGTATCTTCCTAACTTATAAACTTTATATACCCTTTAATTAAAATTTAATTTCCACATTCCAAACCTTTTTTCTTTCAGTGCACAGCTCTTTGCCAAGCAGCAATGAGACACAGAGAGAAAAGGGGACACAAACAGAGCACCCAAAACACTCCAGCCCATTCACATCTCGAGTGCACTTCATTGCTGTCGCATCTACCCAATCCTTGTCCTCGTCCTCGTCCTCGTCTTTGGCTCCCTGGAGCTCCCTTAGCTTCTCATCTTCACTTGGAGTCCTTGTTTTGAAGTCCTCGCTGAGCGTTGAGAACGTCGAATGCCTTGGGCGCTGCTTAACTTTAACTTGAACTCTAAAATAACAACCTTCCGTTGTTTTTGGCTTGTTCAGTTTTCGTATAATTTCCTTGCAGGTATTTTCATTGCCCCAAACCGCCCACTACCCATGAAACCACTCCCCTACAACCCATGACAGCTGAGGAAGGACAATGGCAGGGACATTGACAGCGGTTCGGGAGCAGGACTTGCCTAGCGGCCATTCAACCAGCTGCCAGTGAATAAATGAGTGAATGACTCACTGATTGAGCGAATGAATAGGCAAGTAGTCAGATACTCAGATACAAATTAACCCTAAACGGTGAATGAATAAGTGAGTGAACACTTTTCAAACCTTCATTTAGTGGAAAGTAACAAAGAAATCCTTCTTGAAATTATATCTGCATCCTGTGATAGATTTTCATTCATTTAAGATTCATTAGCTACTGCATTCACTGGCATTTCAGGATTTATTTATACTCCATGTGAGACATGTGTGAAAATCGCATCTACAAGGGGAGTTCGAGTTAATCAAATCTGATTACGCCAAAGGAGGGGCTGTGTGGGGTAAATAGGGATTATATAGGGGAGTGGATGTGATCAAATCAGGACACTCGATTACTCATTCACTGCGCTCATTACACTTGATGAGTGTTTGGCATTCATTTGCGAGCTGCGCTGCTTATCTTTATGCAACCTCCTGGTCCCCTCTGTCCGTCCAACTTGTTACTTGCTACTTAGGATCTGGCTGCTACTCCTCCTCCGCCTGACCCCCTCACACTGGTCACAACGCACCCCTGCTCTCAATTTCAATGAAATGAAGAAGACTGCAAGTGCTTTTCCCCCAATTTCCCTGCAGCAAATGCGATGCTTCCCCAGCTACTGCTACTGCTCCTCCTACTCTTACTCTTTATCCTAGTCCTGCCCTCACCTGTCATCCTGGTCACCCACCTTCTATTACAACCATCCAATCCTGGGGGCATTATCAGACGGTGTTCGTTGTAAATGTTAGGGCTCCTTTATGCATCCATCCTTGTCGCTCTCGTCCAGCTGCTGTGTTGTCATAATAGCATGTGCCACGCCTTCCCAAGCAGTCACCGAAGGCGGTCTATAATAAAAATAACAACTTAACTAAGTAGACGATGCTATATACCAGTCATGCAGTGAGAAAAATAAAGGGGCTACAAGTGATAGTAAGTTTAATGGGAAATAGTTAGTTAGTTAGTTTAAATCATAATGATTTTTTGTACATTTTTGTTAGCTTTCTTAAGGTTATAGCTTGAATAACTATGTATAAAGTATAGATCCAACTTATATACTATTTTTCGTCTGCATTATCCTGTACCATCATCTCCATCTCTTTGCGTATTTGTTGCCTTGACAATCAGTTTAGTGGGTGGAATTGGTAGCTGCATCATCAGGCAGTTCTTGTCAAACTGTAAGCCGCTTTTGTGCATCAGCAGTGGCAGCAATAATAATAACAACAACAACAACAATAGTAGTTTAACAAACAGCAACAAAAACAATAGCAAAAACAACAACAGGTGCATAAGGAAACCCGTTAAGCTGCGCAGTCAGCGGTTGTCGGTTGTCGTTGTTTCGGTTACGTTTTAAAGTTTCCTTTTATCTAAGATGAATAATCTAGCAGCCACCCACTACCGCCCACTACCATTCTCATCAAGGTAGGGGGGTCTGCTGATGCTGATCCACCGCAACCGCAACCGTCGCACCTTTTTACATTTTTATTGTGGCTTCTGGATACCCTCGCAGGCAACTGACCACAGGTAATCGGGGTCAATTGGACTGGACAACGGAAATGATACATTTTTTTTATCTAAAATAAAATTTAATAAGAAGTTTTGTTAGTTAGAAGAACAAGTTAGTCATACAAGTAAGATACCTTCTATCCAAGAACTACACTTAATGGGTATCCCAAAGATCGCCAGGTGAATCAGGTCCACCTGCTTACACATTACGTTGTGGCAGTGGCAATGGCAGAGCTCCTCCTCTTGTTGTTGTTGCTTGGTCATTCCGTTTCTGTGGAGGCAGAGCGATAATCCAAGAGCATCTGTAGCCAGGTAACCTCCTACACTTCTCCTGCCCTTCGAAAGGTCTAGGATGAGATGGTGAAACCACCTGCTTGCCGCTGTCCAAAAGCTTAATCCTTGTGCGGAAATAACGTTACGCAGCCAGAGTTGCCACAGTTGCCGCAGTTCTTTTTGTTTCTTCTTGCTTTTACTGTTTTGTTTTATTTTGTTTTTCTTAAGCTGCCGCATTGTTGTTGTTGCTGCTGTTTAGTTAACTCAATAAACGCAAGTGGCTAAGAGGAGGGGAGGAAAATAATCTTTTCCAAGCCCTACCCCACAAACCCCTCTTTAGACCCTTAGAAAGTGCTGACATTTGCGGAAAATTTCCTCATGCTCATTTACTTGTTTACGTTATTTCTCATCGTCGCCGGACTGTTTGTTGTTCTCTCTGTGTGTTTGTTGTGGCTGGTTGTTTGTTGCTCTTGCTGCCGCCGCTGTTGCCGTTGACAATTACACAAAAAACTGTTAGCATTTACCACAAACATACGGCCACAGTCAGCAGCAGCAGCAGCAGTAGCAGCAGAAACAACAACAACGATGGCTAACCAAGGTTTGAATAGATGGAAATCACCGAAGATGAGAAGGATACTATTAGGCACTGAGAGAAAGTTAGGCAAAGGCAACTTAAAATATTAGTATTTATTAGAACTCGTCTTTGGTAGCAATAAACAATTCGTATGTATTTTTTAAGTAGATACTATTTACATAAGCTAGAACTATGGACTGCTAATAAAATGCATTTCTTTTCGTTCTTTCTGATTTAACGATCATTAAAGAGAAATATTAATAATGTAATGGAATAAGTTGTATGTTTACTACTAATTTATAACGTTTAAAACATTATAAACTTAACTTTTCATTAAGTGATACCCCTATTTAGCTTACAAAAATACCATCAAACGATATTAACTCTGATATTCATTATGAAACCTAAGATGGTCACACCATGTTTATCATTTTCCTTCATTCTCATTTGCAACTGTGCTTTTTCGTTGATGTTGTGAGAACAGTTAAAATACATAAAATACATACAAACATAAAGTGAGTGTAAATCAACTAATGTCTTCGTATTCAAAACAACAAGTAAGTTTTTTAATCTTTACCATCTTTCCTTAATCTATTAACAAACTAGCAACTAGTTTCTTAAATTAGATCTAATTAACTTAAGAGTTCTATAGAACTTCTCGCAGTGCAGCGACTATGCCAGACGACAGTTCCATGTCAACAGAAACAGAAACAGCAACTGTTGGCCTGGCCACGAAGAGAAAATGGCCAGTAGTAGTAGCAGTAGTAGTCAGCACTTTTTGGTCATAAAAGCTGAGCTCCAAAATGGCCAGGGGGGGGTGTGCTGATACCCTAGGCCCTTTTCCCCACTCCTCTCCACCATGCCAAAGGCCGCCTATCCATTAAAACGTTAAAAGCTTCTTGAGAACGCGTAAAAACTATTTGGCTATCTGGCTCCACCACTTTTCCATGCCTCCAAAAACAACTGGGCATTACGATTTCCACTCCTAGGACTTGCTCCTCTTCCATCTTCCTCCTCCACTACTTCTACTTCTACTTCTTCTTCGACTGCGTAACATCATTAAAACTTGAATAATCAGCTATCTGTCTCTTTCGCACGGCCGAGGAGGAAGCAGAACAACAAAGTAATTCACTTTTCCGTTTGCAATTTGGTGCGATTTTTCGGAGAAATGCGGGGGAGTGGGCTAGTTTTATTTGGTTTTGTGTCTGGGCCAAAGAAACAAGCCAAGAATTGGGTTAGGAAAAGTGGCGTAGAGGGGGAAGACTCTATTTAGCCTCATAGAATTGAATATTAAAGTAACAAGCGATTGGGAAAATTGTTAAAAAAAAACAAGAAACTCTTCCTAAATAAACATTTCTGTTTCAACAGAAATTTGAATAGCATAAATTGATATTTCAATTTGTTTTCCCTTTCCTTTCCTTTTTTTTTTTTTTTGTAGTCACTCGAAAAGAAACAAATTAACGTCAATGGGAATGAATAAAATAGAATTTCCATTTGAAACAATTGGCAAACAAATGGTGGGTGGGTGGCCAGTGGGAAATGGAAAATGGAAAAGGGAAAAAACAAATAAATAAAAGTATATATGGAGTCCATTAAAATTTTTGTGAAAATATTATTGAATATTTTAAGGGCTAACTTGAGGGATAGTTTATTAAACCGAATGTGGAAATTGAGGTTATTTTTTGATATATATATATCTCAAATTTAAGGCGATTTCTGTACGAATAATAATTGCATAATTACGAGTCAAATATGGAGTGAAAATTGGGAGAGAAGAATCCTAAAATTATATAAAATAACCAAATTTGAATCGGAATATTCATCAATGCAAATAGTTGAGTTCCAGCCCAAAGACCAAACCAAATATCCGCAAAAACCTAAAGGAGCACAAAATAAAGCATTTCCTTTTCATTTTCTTTTTTCTTTTTGTGAACAAATTTCCAATCGAATGCATTTGAATGCCTGACACGCGAAGGCCGCAAAAAGCAGGCGGTAGGTTTTGGGGGGGTGGCATGAATATTCATGGCATTGAAAATGAAATTTAAAAAACAATAATCGCGGGCACCGCCCCCTTGATTTACCCACCGGGGTACCCCCAATCGATTGGCCATCGATAAAGATTTGTGCCCCTTTTTTTTTTTTTCTTTGTGGGACGGAAATGATTGCCGAATGGCAAGTAAACAAAATAATTTATCATTTTGGCGGAAGTCCTTGCCTGGAGATGTCTAAAAGGAAATGCGCCTGCCTGTGCGGCCCGCACATCGTTGTGGAAAACCCCCGGAAAAACCCCAGAAAAAAAGAGTAAGCAAGGGGAAGCCAAACTTTGGCGCAAACAAAATTAACGGTAATAACTTGGACTTGGCCAAGCGAGAAAAAACCCAAAAAAAAAATAGAAAAAAAATCCGAGGAAAATGTTCCGCTGCATTTGCATGTGTATATGTGTATGTGTGTGATGCAGGGTTGCCACGTTCTGCGTTGAGCAAATAACCATAATGAAGTTTGCAAAGTTTTTTGACACATGCAACACCCCAGGAAGCCGGAGAAAAATATAAAGGAAAAAAAGTGTGGGAGGGGTGCAGGCTGGTACACTGGGAAAAGTAAAAGTGGTAATACTTAAAAATTCTAGGAGTTGAAAAGAGTTTATACAGATTATAAAAGTATCAAGAAGATTATTAAAGTCCTTTGAATTATTTCTAAACAGGACTTTCTTTTTATACTGCATACTTCTGGGCAGTATTGTCAGTGATTCCAAAACTGTAGCTGTACCTCAAATTTGTTATCAGGAGGTGTTTTTTTTTATTTTTTAATCTTCAAAAATCTTGTTATTTTTAATTTAATCTTGAAAACTATCAAAGTAAAGTCATCGCTTATAGATTTTAGAACAATTTTAAAGGTTTTCCATTTCTTCCCCTTAAATTACGAACCTTTTAAGCTGCAAACAAAGTTAAAAATGTTAACATTCTTGTCTTCACTTCACATCCTTCCCTTCGATCTTGTTAAAAACAAAACAAATGTTTCCAGTGTAATCGCATGTCCTGCAAGAAGACCCCGGCCTTTGGCCTCCTTGCTTTTTGGCCACGGCTAAAAGTGTTTTGCGCGACTAGCAAATATTTGCAAAGTGGCAAACAGAACTTGGACCAAGGACTGCGGATTGAGGACGCTGAATGGGCGGGGGGAGAGGGGCAGCATTTTGGGCACCCTGCTGAGCTCAACGATTTGGCAGGACGACCCCTGCCACCTCCCCCCAAAAAGGTCCTTGTTTTTTACCCCAGCGAAAATATTATTTTTATTAATGCTCGTCTGGACTTTGCTCTCGCCTGTGAAGACGGTTGGAGGACAATGATGATGGCGTCGTCATCTGGGGTGAAAATGTGTTTTATATTTGTCAAATAAACGCAGCCGATGACGACCAACAAAAATCACAAAAAAAAACAGAAGCGAGATGAGGAAAAAAAAGTGAAAGAGCGAAAAGTATTGGGTGCAAAGTTTTCCGTTCGTTATTCTACTTTTTCGTATGGTTTTTCCCCCTTGGTTTTTCTCGGGCCGTCGCCGCAGGAAGCGGAAATCGTGCGTGTAATTGAACGGACATTGAACGAAACTTTCGGCGCAAGGTTGCGACGCCTTGGAAATTGTAAGGTCGCTTAGGGAAGGAGGTGGGTCAACATTTGTGGTCAATTTTTACGGTGTGGGGGAGGAAGGGGGTGGATGGCTGTAAAAACAAAACAGCATCGAAGAGCATCGGCAAATGGCCAGCGAATACAAATAAATATTGAGATAGGCGAATACATTTTGTATTTTTTTATGCTGTTGCCCATATTTTTTACGACCCATGGGATTTTTTTTGGTGGGTAAGAAGGAGGTGGCATTGGTCCTTCCAAGTGGTTTTAGTGCCCTGCAGCTGAGTCCTTGAACGGCCATCATATAGCAACTTTGCAGATCGTTTCAGGCCAATCGAGTGGGTAAACATTCTCTCGAACCCCAAAATATCATCTTAAAAATGATGATATGACAAATATAAAACTTAAGTATCACATTGAAATGATGAAAACAAATAGAGAAAAATGGAGTAAAATTCTGGAAAATATTAGTTCTTACTTTCGCCACCTTTTCAAGCCTTTTCAGCTTTGCAAACTCGCAAAATCTTAGCTAACTTTAAATCAATTTCCCATTTTAACTCCTTCAATCGACTAATTCCTTTCTGTAAAGACATGAAAATTCTTAGAAATTTCCCAGAAAATTCTAAGCAACAGTTGACGACATTTCCATGATACCTTTCTCTTACCAAAAGTGACTCAAAAAACCACCAGTCCTCAGTGCAATCCGTCAGTTGTTTTTCGCCGTGGGCGCGACTGCTCAATTAACAAAATGACAGCATGGAATGAGTCGGCGGGGTGGCCAAGGACGGGGTGCCTAAGGGAAGAAAACCAGCAAAAGGCACAGCAAATGTCAAAAGTGTTTTCTAATTTGCGCAACACTCGAAAAGAGAGGGGCCAAAGGGAGGTGGGGGTGGTGGAAATGACAACAAAGGCAACAAATAAAGCCAAAATGTATTTAACAAAGTGACAAAAAATTCGGAGACCCCCAAACGCCGCCCTCAACCTCTCAAGCCCACCAAGCTAAATGCTCAGCTTCTAAGCTTGGCGACTGTACAAAAATGTTTAATTTATCAAATGTCAACGCCTAAAAGACGGCAACATTTGTCGTCGTCAATGACAATGATGATGGCGATGACGATGACTACGCTGCCAACCATTCTGCCACCCGAAAAACAAGAACCCCCCTCCCTTTTGACTTGCGGCAATGTTTTTTTTGAAAAATGAACGTGGATTTCCCCATACGGTATTATTTATTGCAACCATCTTCGCCAAGAGTCGAGGGCCTTATACATTTGTATAATGAATTTGACAAGTGAACTGCCCCGACAGAGGGTTTTTCTATAATTGTGAGTAAAAAAAAATAAAAGGAAATGCTTAGGAAAATGTCCAAAGAATCAGTAGAAAAGGATTTAAGTTAAGTTTAAAGCAATTTAAAAGTGCGAATTCCCCAAAAAGGGCAGCCCATGATGGCACTCGCTTAATATCGAATTGATTGGTATTCCCATAAGTTTTAGGGCCCTCGGCTTGATTGATTCCAATTGGTTTATAAAGTAGGAGCTATATAGATATATGTATATACGTTTTGGGGAATTATAAATGGTCATTGAGGCACTCAACGAGGACCGCTTAATGCCCTGTTGGGTATCATAAATAGTGCATCTATTGCTGTCTCGATTTCCCAGCAGGATTGTTGTATACCCTCAAAAGCCTCGCTACTGCCCTTCTAACCCTTCTGCCCTTTTTGGCATCCGTGACCCCTGGAAAGAGCCTCCTCCCCGTTGCTCCCTTTTCCATATGCCTCCCTCTTGTCCAGCACTTATTCGAGCAATTAAGCGGCCCTTTCAAAACAAATTGAAATGCAAACGCGCAGCAAATTGACTGACTCCCAGACTCCCAATCAACTGAACGTGGCTAACACACACACATACACATACCTGAGCATACACACACACACATACACAGGTAATTCAGATGGCTAACAATTGGGAAAAGCTGGCCGTTCGAATAAATGTCCGAAAAATGATGCACCTGCTGATTGCTTAAAGCCAATGCAATTGCCACTCGCCGCTGCACAGAGAAAAAAATCTATAAAAAAAATAAAAGGAAAAATGTAGGGAAAAATAAGCTAGGTAAGGGTGTGATTTAAGCTGAAAAACTAGTAAAGAAAATCCAAATAAGGGTGAGCTTGATATTTTGTAATAGAATAGAATTTTCCCTTTATTAAAATTTTAACAAATTTTCCAAAAAAGTTCTACTTTCTTAAGACCATCATAATAATCTCTTACTGTTTCCCATTCTAGACCAGTGGACCTCATTATGAAACGAACTCCCATTTATGGACCCAAAGGAATGAGCCCAGGACAGGCGGTGGTCAAATGGATGCCAGCCAGTCAGTCAGTTAGTCAGCCAGTCAGCTAGCCATCCAGCCAGCAGAATAAATCGGATTAATAATTAGAAGCAAACAAGGACAGGACAACCGCTTGGAGTTTGCTTAAGCAGCGCGCCACTAAATTAAAAATCTCCCAGGGGCAATTCATCTTGGCAAAGTCAGAAAAAAAGAATACCAAGAAAAAGCCCCAATGAAAAACCCCATTGAAAAACCCCACTGAAACCAAAAAAAAAAGATATAGGAATGGAAACCCCCAACAGGCGATGATCAATGCCCCATTGTTGAGAGATGGCTGCTAAAGTTTGACCAGACTTGCAGTTAACCCATTAAAAGAGGTTCCTAAGCGAGGTTCTGTAAGTTTAAAAGATGTAAAAGAAAACTAAATTAATCTATATCTTTTAACTTATTTTTCCCTTATAAATAAAAACTAATTTTCTACTTGAATTTTAGAATTTTCCACCATGAATGACTTGGTCAAGCGATGGAAAAGAAAAGGTTTTGAAAATGTGAGAAACCCAAAGACAGACTGAGGCTGGTAAATAAATCCTTGAGCAAAGCCCCCCCACCAAAGCCTCGCAATGAGTTTACTTGGAGAGGAGAAATGATAAAGGAAAAGCAGTGCGGAAAAGTGAAAATCAGACTGGAGCGCGCGCCTCTTCATTCTTTGCTTTGTACTCCACCAAGGCACGCAGCTGCCAAGGCTCAAAAGCGAATCAAAGCCTTCGTGAATGGTCTTAGGACAACATTAAATATGACAGCGTTTGGATGAAAATGGGTAAGGGGGGGAAAAACTAGGGGAAAATGCTTTGGAAAATGCCAGTACCAAGAAATATTTGATATTGGAACATGTTGGCTGGCGAACATGTTGCATGGCCACTAGCTAAAATCGAACATAGAACTGGGAAAATTAAGCATTTTCTTGCTGTAATTTTGCACTTTGAGATATAGGAAGTTGACAGCAAATCAGAAAGTAGTTTTTAGACATACAAAATTCTTTGATCATTCAAGCGATGCTTATTGGCATTCGGTAGTTATGAAAGGCCAGTTTTTGGGCTTAAAAACTTAATAAAAATGAAAATGGTTTTCTTGCTGTAGGAATATTGGTTTATTTTCAGAGAGATTTAGGTCTTAAACCCAGCAAGTTTTTATTAATTTGAAGGTAAGTTTTAGGGTCTAAGCTTATAGCAAAAATGTTTGCCTTTCGACTGGCAAAAAGTTGATTAAACTTCAATTTTTTATGAATTTTTCGTAATATTCCAAGCAGCACTAAGTTAAAGAAGGTATTTACCTAAGGTTTTCTATTACCTAAATAGTTTTTAGAATCAACATAATAAATACATTCCACAATCACAGCAACTTTTATGACCTAAAAAGGCAAACTTAACATTCCAAATGACTTTCAAATGCCTGAAAGCTTAACTCTAGCTAGCTACCACAACGTTATGCATCTGAAATTGCCAGCCTGAGATCCACTTTGAGTTTAGTTACTAATCAGATTCTCTAATGCCTGCAAGTATTTGCCTTTGTATGCCCATCAACTATATACATATATATAGTCCTGATGAGTCCACAAACAATCTGATTACCTTAGATGAACTTAGGATGAGCCAACAACTCTGTCGATTTCTGTTTGCTTGGCAAAGAAGATGGATATTTGGTTGGATATTTTTGGTGGGCAAGCCAATATGGCCAGCCCCGACATCGTCAGTTTCATACGGAAAATGTTAGGGGGGGTTGGTAATGATAAAATGGAAACTCCAAGCGTTTGCTGTTTTGTGGTCCTTGTCGAGTGTCAGGGCCACGTTTGTCCTGCCGGATGCGACAATATAAATTGTAATTAATAAATCAAAACAGCAGCAGCAGCAGCAGGCAGCCAGAGTGATATAGCCAAGCCAAATACAAATATGCAACTTTATAGCCGGCAATCAAAGTCAACAGTAGCTATGGTTAGGGGGTGACAGGGGGTGGGGGGGTTATAGAGTGAGATAGATACACAGATAGAGACAGAAGCAGAGATGAAGCGACAAAGTTTGGAGCTGGCCAAAAGTTTGGCCCAATAGAAATTATGGCATGGCTGAACTTTTGGTTTATTTTCCAAAGCCATGCATACCGCTAGCCTGTGTGTTTCCTTTTTTTTTTTTAGCCGCAACTAAATGAAATTGTTTTTAAATTTTTGTAACTAAAACACTTTTTTGGTTAACACATAGATGGCTAAGAAAGGGGACTCAGAGAGAAATAGTAAGGGAAAATGTCTTTTTTTGGAACTAAAATTTAACTTTTATAAGCAGTTTGATGTTAGAGGGAGTCTAGTACTAGTTAGTCGCATTATCTTTTACACTGTTTTATGTTTTCTTTCTAACAATTGTTAATGTTTTTTTTTGTTATTAATTTCTCTCTCTGTACTTTTATGCACATTTACTGTGGATGTGTGACATGCAATGCCAAAGTTTTCCTTTGCTCTCTCATTAACGCCCCCCAAAAGTTTTTTCAGCTGCCAGAGCGTGGGAGTGGCGCAAATCAAACGGAAATTAAAAGCAAACTCAGCAAACCGCTTGACACGCCCCCTCTTACCTCATCACCATTCCCATCCCACCAAAACCGAAAAACGCATTCATGGCTAAGCTGTCTGAGCATAACGCATCATTACGTTGACAAAAATGGGCAACCGGCAAAATGACAGCAAAAAACTGAGAGAGTGAGTGGTGTTGCGGGGGGTGGGTGGAAAATGTCCGGGGAAGGTATATAAGAATTTGAATTTCCATGCAGGCAAAGAAAAGCGAAAGGAGGCGACAGAAGCAGAGCAGAGCTGGCAAAAATGCTAGAAGCCGGCATAAAAATGAGATGCATATTAGATATGACTTTTTAGCTAGTTTTAATATGATAAACAAGAAGAGTAGGAAGGTAGAAGCAGATTTTAGATATATCTTTTAAGATATATAAGTTAACATGACTTACTAAAAAATAAGTTAATTTTTTACTCAAGTCTTTAGGGGTCTTACTTTAACTTTTATTTTTAGTGATATTTTCAAAATTTCTTATTAATTTTCCTTTCTTTCTCCCCCCCTTTAGCTTTATGACCTAACTACTCATCACTACTAAACAGCTACAAAAGACAAGCCAAGAAGGTTGCCCAGGTGGGACATGGATGGGAGGTAGCATTGGCTGAGCTGGTCATGAGCCAAATCCGCTGCCAGACATCGAGCGTCTATGGCAACATAAACATTTGCCAGCCAAGAGTCGCCGGCTTGGCCTCAGGATGTCGGAGGACATGGAAGGACATGGAGCAGCCTAGTTGGTAGCTAGAATTACGGAATATTAGTTGCTCCACTTGGCCTCTCGCCACTGCCACTGCCACTGCCACTGACATGAACCATTTAAGAGCAGCGCCTCGAGGTGAGACCTGCCAGATATGTTCCCATGGCATTGGCAGAAATGATTCCTGAAGGTGATAATAAGAACCAGGAAGGGTATACTTTTTTGAAGGATACTCGAAGGACTCAACTATCTGTTCTTTCAGGAAAATCAAAATAAGAATTGGTAAGTTTAAAGAGGGTTTTTTTTATAAGAAATGATAGGAAACTTATTTGGGAATTCTTTTTAAGATTTGTTAGAACATTTGGCAGTCGTCCTTGTTGAATTTTTTAAGGATATTTTGTGTTTGTTTTTTGTTTTTTTAGCTTGTTTTGCTTACGACAAGCGAGGATGTTGACGATGACGACCATTTTGCTGTTGCCTTGTGAGTTTTTATCACTTGTCCTTCGGTTCATCCAGCGCCCTTTTTGGAAACTGAGAAAAATTTGGGTTAACTTTTAGAAGTTATAACTTTAGGTTTAGCTATTTTTCTTCAGCTTGAAGGCTTGTTCTGATCTTTTTGATCATCTACTTTTTGTTTTTAATACATAATAGATTTTTGTGACATTTTTTTTTAATAACTTTTCTCACCGTGTCGGCGGCTGCCTCTTCTCAATGTTTTGTAGTTAATGTGGCGTTCTAAAACGCAGTAGCTGCCCTGTCTTCCATTCTGGGCTATAATATATGTAAACACTCAACCGCACACACACACACACACTCTTACACTCACACATAGACAGGCAGGAAGCGCACATCGCATATTTGTATAGCATACTTTTTTGCGTAGTTTGTCGTTGTTTTCCCATTTGTTTGCCAAAAAAGTGGCTGTCGTCTACGTAACTTGAGGGTTGAGAGTTGGGTATAGAAAGGTGGCTGAGTGTGTGTGTGTGTGTGTGTTAGCAACTTCATTTATTCGCTGTCTGTGTGCGGGGGGGTGTATGTGTGTGCTCCAACAAGTTTCTGCCTAGTTGGCAGACTAATGTAAATGTTTGTCTTCCGCCCAGCAACGATTTCGAATCTCAAATCCGAAGAATTGCCGCTGTTAGAGGTTTCTACCACCACTGATTTCTTTCTAGCTGGCTGTAAGTTCCTTTTCGTGGCTTTTTTATAGAAAGCGAAATGGTTTCTAGAAACTTCTGTTTAATATTTTTCCATAAATTACTTTTATTGCCTAGGAAAGCTTACTTTTTCTTAGCTATTTTCCCTTTAAATAAATATTAATATTTTTATTGTGTTTCCCCTTTCCCCTCTTTTTGATACTTTAACTTAACTTAAAATCGCAGGAGTTGGAGGTCCTTAAAAAAATATTTCAACCACAAAACACGCGCATATATTTCGCAGACTTTTCGCTACCCCACCTCTGCCCTTCGTTTTTCCCAGAGTTTGCTGCTTTTGACAGTTTTGTGTACTGTCAATTTAAGGCAACAGCAGCAGGAGCAGCAGCAGCAGCAGCAGCAGAGTGTGTGTGGCTTCTTATATTGTTGCCCCTTGCACCCCTTGACCCCCTGGAAAAACAGCAAACACCCCTCTCCTTGGCCAACCACCACCCTTGGTCTGCCAATATTGTCTGTGTGTCGTCCTGGCTTTAAAAACATCTTCAAATTTTTCTTGCTTTCATTTTTTTTTTGTTGTTTTTTTTTTTACATCAGTGGGGGATAGGTGGGAGGTATTCAGGCAGGCAGAGGGTTTGGCAACGGTTGGCCTTCGTAGAAAGGAGGCGTGGGCCCTGGGCCACGCCAGAAACTTGTATTTGACAGACACTTGTCTTCATATGTGCCACAACTATCGTTGCTTGTTGGTTGTTCGTTCGGTTGTTTGGTTGTTTGGTTGTCCTGCTACAGCCCCACCCACCCTTGGCCAACTCAAGCCATAACCCGTGTTTGTAAGGCACTGGGGAAAATAAGGGGAGTAGTTCGTTCTAAGGGAAAGTTTATAGTTTTTACAGACAAAAAGTTACTCTAGTCTAGTTTAAGTTAGTTTAGTTAGTTAATAGGGTATTTAAGGCCTTATCAGTCAGATTAATCATTTAATACAAGCAACTAACTAACTAATCAGGCATTTTAGCTAACCAAAAGCTAAGTTTTTTCTTTCAGTGCAGCTCCTTTTTAGCTCCTGCTCGTTATTACATTCAGTTGGGTTGTGGAAAAAAAAAACATAGCTAGATATATATCATTATATGCGCCTTATATGGCGTTTTCATGCCCCGCATAAATTGTCGCTGCGGGTTGGTTGGATGTGGAAGGATATAAAGACGCCCCCCAGCCATGTCCGCCCCTCCCCCCTTCCTGCCCTACCTTTTCTGGTGTCATCACATTTGCACTGCATGATTGATCGTTTACAAATAAGCAGAGTTTCCAGCAACGCCAACGACGCCTGCTTAGCAGTTAAGAATACAAAAAAAAAGAAGAAGAGGAAAAAGAAAAGGAAAAGGAAGAAGGACCTCCTTGGTAGGATCCTGACAGGCTGTGCAAATGATATCTGGCTAATTTGCCAAGGATAAGGCAAGCGACAGGAGTTGGTTGGAGTTTTTCTAAAGGGAATTTGTTTTGTAATATAAAAAATAAGCTAATACGGTAGCTATACTACATTTAGTATCTCTAATTATCTAGTTAATCAAAGATCTTTGAGTTATTTTCATTTCAATAATTCCTGCGTCTAACGCGAAAAACCACCCCCCAGAGAAGAATCAAAACTTTCCTTTCTTAGAGAGAGTGACGCTGGTAAAAACTTTCCTTACTTTTGGGATGTCTTCATCTAGAAAGGATACGCAGTAGTCAGCAGGGAAGGGTGGAAGGAGGTGGGTAGGTGGGGTTGAGTGTGAAGACGGATGCCAGGCTTAAAATAATTAAATTGTCAGTGGCAACGGGCGGCGGTTTGGGGGGTTAAGAAGAGAGAGAGAGAGGAGAGGTTACTGTAAAGGACCCAACACTCATTAGATGTCTATGAGGGGGGAACCCTTTGCTACGCTGCCACACCCCCTACACACACACACACACACACACACACACACACACACACACACACTCAAACACACATGCGGAATGGCGCCATCAAAATAAATGCCTGTCATTAAACAAATTGTCGCAATAAATCTGCGCATTTCAAAGTCAGTGGAAAGTAAAAGCCAAAAGAGGAAACTGAAACAAAGAGTAAGGAAAGGAGAGGGGGGTGTAGGAAAAGTAAAAGAGTTTCCCTCAAGTGAGGTTGTGTGATCATTAGCGCTAGTCAAAGTCATCCGTAATCCGGATGGAGTAGCAAATATGTCTTCCCTTTCATGGTTCACCCCTTGAAAGGTTTTTCTTTTCATTTTTTTGATATATAAAAATTTTTCTTTGCGGTCGCTGCTGCTGCCCTTGCCTTGGTTAAGGCAATTTTCTAATCACAATAAATAAACAAAAGTCAATCAGACAGCAAAGGCAATTAGAAAATGGTAGCCAAGTTAATTAAGCGCCATAAAAACGACATTTTCCTTGGGTTTTTCTTTTCTCTTCCTTTTTACGCTGCTGCTGCCTTGTCCTTAAGTAGAATGTTGTCTCAATCTCAATAGATAGAAATCAACGTGTATATGTATAAAAAAAAAAACAAAAGCAGGACAGAAGCCGAGCATAAATTAAAATACATAAAGGAAAGGCTAAAAAACAAGGGCAATGGGTGGGGGAAAGCGCAGGGTGAGGCGGCCCAAAAGCAAAACCAAGGCAAATACATCAACCGAGCTGAAGAAGAGCAAGAAGCCCAGGCAGATAAGATGGCATTACAATAAAGCAAAAAAAAAAAGAAAACTGAAGAACAGGAAAAATAAAGCACAATTTTCCCTCAAGTTGTAGGGGAAAACAAGCTGTAATCTGGTCAAGGCTTTGGGCTGTAAGCTACCCTGGAAAAGAGGCATTCAAAAATGATTTTTTTAGATTAAAAATTAGTTTTATTTTCTTAACTTAGTAAAAGTTTTAGAAAAACTGGCAGTATCTTATTACTATATAGACCTAACTGATCACTCCTATAACCCTTAAGAACCTTTACAGGGTATGGGTGGGGGGTAAGAAAAAAGAAGCTGCCAGGACATAAAGCAAAACCAACAAGGACAACGAACAGCGACAGGGACAACTCTCAAGGCAGTCTGACCATCATTGGAGTTTGGCGGCCAGTAAGAGGCGGAAGTTAGGGAGGTTGGGTTAAAGGGGGGCGGCAGGGGGCCCAGGGCGGGCAAGTTGGCAACAAATTTATGAGCAAATTAATTGAGATTGGAAACGCTGGGAGGAACAAAGAAGGAGAAGGGAGAAAAAAAAAACACAACACAACCCAAAACAACAACAAAGGAAGACGACAAAAACAACTGGAAAAATTGGTACAGAGACAACGGGCAGGAAAAGGACACGGACACGGACACGGCTACGCAATGTCATCCGACAGACCGCCCCTCCTGCACACCCTCCTGCACGAGTGTGCTATATGTGTGTGTGTGTGAAGGCTTGTTAGTGTGCGGTTGGTGGGTGTTTCTAACTTAATTGAGAGACAAGTCAATAAACAGGAAGCGAGTGCCGGGCTAAAAGTCAAAGCAGCCAAACAGTAAAAGAAAAAAAGTGAAGATAGAAAAGGAGATAGAGAGAGAGAGGGAGGTGGGGGAGGGGGGTTGGGGGGGAGTGGTAAGAAAAGAAAACAAGAGGAAGAACCGGAAGCGCAGGTCGAGGGAATGTCCTCCTGCAGCTCTATCTATGTGAGTGTTAGGATGCCTTTGGTAAGTGCTTTTTGGCCAAAAGCGAATCTGTAAATTAACTTCTTTGATTTGAAAATCAGAAATTAAAAACAAAATCAAAATGTTTAAAGTTAAAAAGTCAATTTTTGTAAATTTTTGTACATTTTCTAAAAAATTTCTTATAGAAATTTAAAGTAAAAATATTTTCTTTATTACAATTTTCATCACTTTCCCTCTTAATAGTTAAAAAATTGTCTTAAATACTTTCCGTTTTTTCTTAACTTTTCCCTTTTTACCATCTCAAAACTCCATTCACTGCCTGGCAGGTCATCTGAAATTCCCTTCGAACTGCATAACTTTCTTTAACCATCTCTTGAGGGGGTTATTAGCTGCCTCCCCCTCTAGCTATCCCACCCAACCTTTGTGCCATCTATTTTCTTGTCCCGTCCATTGCGCATTTTGAGTCGCATCGCGATGTCCACATAAAAAATAACAC